TGCGAGTCCGGCAAAGCGCCTGCCTAGCCCCGGTTCCCCAACCGCAGCAGAAACACCCCGCGGCAGGAGGCTTTTGTCCGACGAAATCCCGCACGCCTGCCGCTCCCACTCGTTCTGTGCCCAAGAAGCCTGGTCTCTGCTCGCTCCCGACTCCTCCTCCAGCCTGCCTCTGCCATACCCGGCGTGCACCTGATCCCTGAGCATTGCTTCCCCCACCTGCCCCCATATTTTTATTAACTTAAATTTCTAGAGTTGCAGGAAATTGTGAGGGGGCTCGGGTCCGATACTAATGATTTCATGGCAGTAGACGCCAATTCCAAAAGCAAAAGCTCTGTCACGGCTAAGACGCGAGCTGTCGGCATCGCCCGGCAGAACAGCCGCAGGCATTAGCCTGCCGTCGGATGCTAGCAAACCCTCCAGTGGCACGTGGCTCGGATCCTTAGCCCCGGCGGGGAAATCGGGGTTTACCGGCGTGTTTTAGCCATTCTGGAATAACTCGCCATTCTGGACGCCAGTTCCGGAGAGAGGCGGCCTGTGGGCCGGGAAGGCTGCGGATCTACGAGCTATTCTGGGACGAAGTCATGTACTTTGGTAGAGAGGGTCCCCCAGGGGGTCGGTTTCCTCGGCCAAGTCTTTAGATCTGTCTAGGAGTTTCAAGTGCAGGCTGCCTCCACTTCCTGCCTTGCACGGGAGCGGCAGCTGCGGCCCGATGGCTGTGTGTTTACACAGCCTGCTGGCGCAGCCCGCAGTCCCGTGGCTGGGCTTCAGCCTGCCATGGGACGAGGGGCTGGGGCATCCCCGGGTGGCTCCATGCTCTGGAGATGAAAGGAAGATCCCACCCTGGGGGTCGTAGCTCGCAGGATCCTGCCCTCCATGACAAAAGGGGAATTGTTTGCTCTCTCAGCCCCTGGTCTCTGTCTCTCTGTGCAGCCTTACAGGGTCCCTTTGCCTCGCCTTCCCAGCCTCCCAGGAACAGCTACCCGCACCCTCACGGGGATTCGGCCGGGGCATGTAGCTCTTGGGGCATCGTTCCAGCTGCCGGCTGCGTTTTCTGTTCGTTGTTAAAAGCCGCATTCTCCAAAGGGCTCCTCCTTGGGATCCCCGCGTTTCTCAGGGGCTCAGCTGGAGAGCCCGGAAAGAGAGTGCTTTGTTTTCCCACCCAACCTCAGGCAGGGGCCTGTCCGTGTGTCTGGGCAGCGCCTGGCACGACGGGGCCCTGATCTCAGCTGGGGCAGGGCCTGTCTCTCGCCATGTGTCTGGGCAGCGCCTGGCACGACCGGGCCCTGATCTCACTAATCACTAGATGCCAGTTTCATTCCTCTCTGCAGGTGGCATGAGTGTGCCTGTCCCATGAATCCTAGAACTTGGGCCCAATACCCCCCTCCCCCATCAAGGTGGGGTCGTCGCCTCCTCTGGGCAGGAGGGAGAAAGCTGGTGCAAGTCCCGGCCCTGCCTTAGTTCTTGGCTGGCCCTCGGACTTCACTGGGGCGTGAAATCGGCTCCGGAGCCGGAATTCCCCTGTTCCGTGTGCGGTTAATGTGTAAACAGGCAGCCCCGGTGCCGGAGGGGTGGTGCGTGGGGGGCTCTGATCGGCTGGGAACAGATCCCCTCCCGCGCTGCGCGCTTTGTAAGGAGACTTGTGCGTCACGGCAGTGTGCGGTGTGTGCTACCCCCATTCCCGAGGGCTGTGCTGTTCTGTGGGGAAATGGTGTGGGCTGTCACATGGCCCCATTTCCCTCTTACTCGCAGACTTTTCGTCAGCTGGTCCCATGTCCTGTGAAGTGCAGGCCAGAGGTTTCACCCTTGGCCCTGGATGGCACCCAGTCGCTTGGCGGGGCAAAGGCGTCTCTCCCCGAAAGGCCGGGTGGGACGGCGTCGAGAGATGGCCAATCCACCTCTGCCCCAGGGTGTTTGGGCCAAAGAGACTCCCATCGGTGCCCTGTTTCCCACGGGAAAGCGGCTGGCTTTGTCCTTCCAGCCTTGTCCTGCTTTTCCTCTGCATTTTGTGGCTCTTCTCCGCCCCTCTCTGATTTTTCCAGCGTCTCCTTTTAAAGCTTTGTTCATTTCAGCCCAGAGAGAGCCAGTGCCCAGGACTGATCCTCGTCAATGTCTTGCTGGAACGGCTCTTCTCCTTGGCCGGGTCCTGCCAGAGGCTTGCGCACTCTGTGCCAAGTTCCATACCCTCTTGGCAGCTTGGCTGGGCCTCTGTGTTGCGCGGTCAACAAAACATTTACCCTGCCGGCGGCTGCGGCCCGGAGCCTGCGTGTGTGTGCAGGGAAACGGCTCCTGAGTCAGCCCTTCTCTCGGCGATGAGTGCTGGGCTGGTCTCCTGCCAGCTGCTCGCAGCCCCGGCGACTTGGAACGTTCCAGGCCGGCAAGCTCGGCTGTTCGTCCTCCTCCGTCCTGGGGTTAGGGGAGAGCCCAGGAGCCCTGCTGGGATTAGGACCCCTGTTGTGCCAGGCTCTGCCCAGAACCCCTGACCGAGATCAGGGCCCCCCATTGTGCCAAGCTCTGCGCGGACCCCCTGACCGAGATCAGGGCCCCCCATTGTGCCAGGCTCTGCGCGGACCCCCTGACCGAGATCAGGGCCCCCCATTGTGCCAGGCTCTGCGCGGACCCCGACGAGATCAGGGCCCCCCCCGAGATAGGGCCCCCATTGTGAGGCTCTGGGGACCCCCTGACCGAGATCAGGGCCCCCCATTGTGCCAGGCTCTGCACGGACCCCCTGACCGAGATCAGGGCCCCCCATTGTGCCAGGCTCTGCCCGGACCCCCCGACCGAGATCAGGGCCCCCCATTGTGCCAGGTGCTGCACAGACCCACAAGAAGAGCCCGTCCCGGCCCCGAAGAGCTTTGAGTCCCGAATATGAGAGGGGGAGGCAGGAAGGGTCATTCTCTCCTGTGTCCCTCCAAGGGACTTGTGTGGTGGCGTCAGGCCAGACTTCCAAAGGTATTTGGGTGCCGAAATGTGCCGATCGCGGCCTTGTATCAACCCTGAGGTCCTCCCGTCTGAGCTCCTGCATCTCGATTACCGGGGGAAATCCTTGGATTTAAACATGGCCGGGGACGGAGGCTCCACCACCTTGTCCCCACGGTTCGTCCCCCTCGCTGGTCAAATTGGGGGGCCTTCTTTCCAGGCTGGATTTGTCCAGCCTCGGCTCCCAGCCGCTCGCTCTCTGCTTGCCTGGGACGACTAATCCTGCTTCCGTCTCGCCTTCCCCCCCCCCCCCCCCGCTCACCCGCTCCCGCCATGTAAAAAGCCTGTCACTCCTGGTACAAGACACATCAAAGCCCTTTGTGTCCCTCGCGTAAATGCAGGTATTCAAACCTGTATTTGAAAGAAACAGACAAACTTGCCTCAATGGCTGAAATTCTCTTCGCGACAAGTGCCACAACAAATGGCACAATTTGGCCTTAAAAGGTGCCCAGTTTTTAATGCCTGTAGAAAGCAAATTGTTGTAAGAAGCCAGGAATTTTTTTAAACCGCTTAAGCCTCGTGTTCAGAGCTCTGAGACGGCCCGTTCCAGTTATGTCTATGGCAGTGTTCTTGCTGCTGTTTGAAAACCCACACGCGGCACGGCCGGCTAGCTCCTCTGTGCCTCCAGGACTTCCCAGAACAACAAAACCCAGAGGGGTGAGTCTCTGCCCGGGCTGGAGCCAGTGTCCTGCCCCAGGTGCGGAGCCGGGAGGACAAACGCGGAGAGGAAAGAGAAGCTCAGACAAACCAATTTGTGGTGGGAAAACTCTCTCGCCTCAGTTTAGCTCTTGGGGAAATCACAATTTGCCCCCTCCTGTTATTACACCAGCGGGAACAGCGGGATTCCAGTTCTGGCTCTAACCCAGATTCCTGGGTTCGTTCCCGGCTGGGCCGTGGCCTCTCTGCTCCCGGGAGCCAGGACTCCTGGGTTCGTTCCCGGCTGGGCCGTGGCCTCTCTGCTCCCGGGAGCCAGGATGCAAGGGTCTTGTTTGCAGCAAGAGACTTGCAGACCTTCCCCAAAGGCATCCAGTGCTGATCAGTGTGATGAGGAAAAGTGAAACTATGTAACGTTTGCACAAATCTCTCCCCTTCCTCATTTCTCTTTGGGATGGGTTGGGTCTGAATTCTCCGCAGGGGGGGATTTAACCATGACCCTGCTCTTGGGCTGGGAGGCGAAATCTCTCTGGGAGCTGTGTCGAGCAAACACAGGTCCAGCTGTTTAAAGGGCTCCCACCCAATACTGCCGTGCTCACGGCCACGCGTGGCGTTTTCCCCCCAGCCCCTCTGGGCTCGGGCTGGGCCCTGATCCCCCTTGTCCGAGGTGGAGGGACTAAGGCTGTATCTCCCTGCAGATGTAAATTGGCCTATGTGAGGTCGATTTACAGGAATTACATGGCACATGTCCCCCCACCTCCCTTCTGTCGGTGGTACGCGGCCTCACACCTGGGTTCTCTGGTGGTTAGAGCAGGGGCACGGCGACAGGACGCCTGGGTTCTCTGGGAGGGTAGTGGGGTCTGGTGTTTAGAGCAGGGGTTGGGAGACAGGACACATCTTCCTGGCTTGGCCACCCTGCCTCAGTTTCCCCTCTAAAACTGAGAAAGGTCCCTTTTCCAGCCCCCCTCCCCCAGCAATTGCGTGGACATCCCCTTGCTCCAGTTTGCAGCCCCAAAGACATTCTCTGCGTGAGCTGCAGACAGTCGGGAACGCCAGCTGGACACCGGGTTCAGGAGGGTACCCCCGACCCACCCCAGCTGTTCTGCAGCCACGCCTGGCCAGCCACGCTCTCGGGCTGCTCCCCAGCTAACGAGGCCCCTTCAGACTGGGTCGCCCGCCCTGCCTCTGCAGGGAGCAGGCTAAGGAAAACCTGCCCTTGGTGTGTGCGTGCTGGGGGGGGAGGGGGTTGACAGACCCCTCCTGGGGGGCCTGGGCGGGCAAGTTGCCTGTAGCAGGACACCTGGATGCCCAGGAGCTCGGTGCAGACAGTGGGCGGCATCTAACGGCCTCCCCTCTTGTCCCACGCCCAGATCTCTCCCGGAACCGCTTTGCTGAAGTGCCCGAGGACGCCTGCCACCTGGTCTCCTTGGAGGGCCTGAGCTTGTACCACAACTGCCTGCGGACCATCCCGCCGGCCATCGCCAACCTGCAGTCCCTCACCTACCTGAACCTCAGGTACCAGCCGGGCCGGGGGGGAGGGATCCAGAGCTCCTGCAAAATCCGGGGGATCCGGCCCCGTTGGCACCCAGCTTGGAGGGATCTTCGTGGCTGGCACACCATGGCTTGGTTCCTGGGTTCCTGGGCCCTCTTAGCTCCGGGGGCCCCAGGCCCACACTTATGAGCGACTCAGTTGGGGAAGGGGCTGGCGTGCCCCTCAAAGGGGGCTGACACTGCCCAGATCCCTGTGTTGGGGCCTGACTCCCTCCTCCCATGGTTCTAGCGGCTCCTTCTCCCCCCGCAGCCGGAACCAGCTCACCTCCCTCCCGCCCTGCCTCTGTCTCCTGCCCCTCAAAGTCCTCGTCGCCAGCAACAACAAGCTGGCCTCGCTGCCCGACGAGACGGGCTCGCTGAGCAACCTGCGCCAGCTGGTGAGTGGGGCCGGTGGGCGCGCTGGGGCCTGGCCTGCAAAACGGGGACCCCGCAGGGCTCACGGCTCCGCCAGGTCCCTCCCGCCTCGCAGGCTCTGGCCGGGGCTGGGAGACTGCCAGGGAAAACCTGACACTGCAGGGGGCGGGGTGGGGGGCTCAGGCGGGGCACTCTCCCCTGGCAGGCAGGGCTGGCCCCAGGGCGGCGTCATTCCATCGTGCCTCCATGCGCCCCCGCTGTGTGATCTTCACTCCCCGGCCAGCCCCGAACGCCCCGCTCCCTTTGAGGCCCTGACAGCGAGATACGAACCCCTCCCATTGGGGGCTGGTGTTCCTGCTCCCCCCCCCCGCCAGGCCCTGCTAAACCAACCTCTCCCCCCAGGACGTGAGCTGCAATGAACTCCAGTCCCTGCCAGCCAGCATGGGCCAGCTGGAGACCCTGCGAGACCTGAACGTCCGGAGGAACCAGCTAACAGCCCTGCCTGAAGGTCAGTGCCCCTCTCTGTCTCTTTAAATCCCGGGGCAGGAGCCCTTCCAGCCAATCAAGCACAGGGTGGGAACGGAAGCCACCAATCCTGCGAGCCCAGTGAGCTGGTAGTTAAAGGGCCGGAGCGCAAATACCTTTCGGGCCCTTTCTCCTTGTTCAAGCACCCTGGGAGATGGGTCCGGGTCTTGATTCTAGCCCCCCATCTCCTTGAGCTCACCGTGGCCCCTATGCCCCAGCACCAGGGGGTGCTGGGCGGAGCTGGGACTCCCCACAGATCCCAGCCGTGGTGCAGCTGGGGCGTTTCCAATGGCCCCTGCCACACTCACCGGGCCCCTCTGCCGCTCCTAGAGCTGTCGGAGCTGCCCCTGGTCCGTCTGGACTTCTCCTGCAACCGGATCGCCCGAATCCCCGTCTGCTACCGGCACCTCCGGCACCTGCAGACCATCCTGCTGGACAATAACCCCCTCCAGTCGCCGCCCGCGCAGGTGAGCCAGGGCGGGGCCCCGGGGGCAACGGGATGGAAGGAAACTGACCCGGGGAAGGAGGGCTGGGGGGGCGGGCAGGGCAGTAAAGCCAGGCCTGTCCCACTGGGCAACGAGGCACCGATTTTTCCACAGTGTGGGTGACTGACATGGGACCCGCCTCCCCAGGGGAGCCTCCCTCTCTCCCGATGCAGCCTGGAGCCTGTCTGGGGGTGGGCTGCTGGTGAAAGCCAGAGTCAGATCCCATGGGTCCTTCTGGCCTGTGACTCTGTAAGGGGGTGGGGGCTCCCTCAGCGCAGCCCTAAGGAGCCCCCCGTCTCTCGCCCCAGATCTGCCTGAAAGGCAAAATCCACATCTTCAAATACCTCAACCTGGAAGCCTGCAGCAAAGCGGTGCCTGACCTAGCCGACTTCGCCCGGGCCAGCCGGCCCACCGGCTTTGGCACCTGGTAAGAGAGCTTCACCGGGGTGGGGGGGACCTGGGATCGACCCGGCTTGTCCGGCCCCCGCATGGCAGCCCAGTGCTGCTGGGCGTTGTGGATTCCGACGCTCATCCTGTTCCCACCGCTTGCCCCTCCAGCAAATGCAAACCCACCGGGCTCCCCAACCCCTGGGAGCCAGGACTCCTGGGTTCTCGCCCCGGCTCTGGGAGGGGAGTGGGGGCTGGGAGGCTGGGAGCCAGGACTCCTGGGTTTTATTTCTGGATCTGCCCCTTTCTTGAGAGCTTGGGGAGGAAGTGCCAAGTTCCGTCACTCCCCTGCCCCTCTGATCCCAGGCTCTGGTCTGGTTTGTGAAGCGCCTTCTCCTGCACCTGTCGCCAGAGGATCTCAAAGCCCCTCTCCCTCCTCCCCCGCCCGTCCCTCTCTCTGCCCCTCAGCCTCTCCGACGAGCTCTACCCCGGCCGGCAGTACGGCGGCCTGGACTCCGGCTTCAACAGTGTCGACAGCGGCAGCAAGCGGTGGTCTGGGAACGAGGTACGGACCGCGCAGCCCCCAGCCAAGCGCTGCTCTCCTGGGTGCTGGTGCCATCTGGAGCACCCAGGGCAGCGATGGCCCCCCTTCCTAGCCCCCGGCGATGGGCAGTGGGTCCGGGGCCCACGTTCCAAGGCAAGGCCAGCGCTGCTTGGGAGCCAGCGGACTGCGAGGAGGAGCTGGGTGGCAGACGGGAGACATGGCTTGGTTAGGTGCTGCTGTGGGTCAGTTTCACCTGTGCGCGGCATGGATCAGTCAGTTGCGTGGGTCGGTCCGTTTCACCCGCGCCGGGCAGTCCCGGCGTCTGACCCCCTCTGCGCCCCCCGAGCCCTGCCCGAGAGTCACCCGCCTCCTCTGCTCTCTCAGTCCACAGACGAGTTCTCCGACCTGTCGTTCCGCATCGCAGAGCTGGTGCGTGATCCCCGCCAGCTGAAGGAGAAGCGGGACAGGGCAGGTGAGCGGGGTCTGGTCCCCCCAGGTGGGATTCCCTCGCCCCAGATCCTGCGCGACCCCAGCTCCCGGGGTCCCAGGGTTACCCATGGGGAGGTGCCTGCCGCAGACAAAGGTGATCCGTGAGCCCCCGCGTTTGTCTGTCCCGGCCGTGAGGGGTCCCCACATGTACACGTGCCAGGCAGCCCCCATCTGCCGGGGCTTCGCTGGGCACCTGGGAGCGGAGCCGCCCCGCTGACCCTTTCCTCCCCACAGCCAACGGAGAGCTGGAGCAGATCGACTTCATCGACAGCAGCGTGGAGGAGGAGGAGGCGGGCAAGCCGGAGAGCAGCTCGCAGGGCGCGGCCCCGGCGGAGGTGAGGGGGATTGTGGGGGCTTGGGCGCACCCGCAGTGTGTGGGTCAGGGAGACTACAACTCCCAGGATGCAGTGCTCTGCTCTGGGCCTGTTGGATGTCCTCTCTTCCAGCAGGGGGTGCTGCCCCCTAGGCGGTGAGGGGAGGAACTGGCCCGGGGCAGAGAGAGGTATCACACTGGGCCCAAAATGGGGTCATGGCTCTGCCCCCAGACCCAAGAGAATTTAGGTTTTCTGGCAAATATTCGAACCCTGAAATCCGTCTCTCGGGCGCCGCTGCCGCCCTGCCTCGGGGGAGTTGTGGTTCGCTCGCCTCACGCCTCTCACTCTCCCCGCTGGGCCGGGCTCCCTAGTCAGACTACGTCTCCCATGGTGCCCCACGGTCTGGCCTCAGGGTGAGGGAGGCAGTTGCATCATGGGAGGTGTAATTTAGGTGCCTCAAGCCTCTGTTCCCTCTGTGGCTGGGGTCCCTAGATAGACTCATCTCCCACGGTGCACCCTGGTCTGGCCTCAGAGTGAGGCTCTTGCATCCTGGGAGATGTAGTTCTGAGGGATAGTTCCGGCTCAGGCCCCTGCTCCTGCCAGTTGGGGGCACAGCTGTGGGGCAGAGCCGTACCTGCGGGCCCAGAGCCCTCCCCAAATGGGACCGCAGCAAAGGAACTGGGGCTGGGGGGGTTAGAGCAGTGGGGGCTGGGAGCCAGGACTCGTGCATTCCTAATTCTCTCCCTAACCCTTTCCCTCTTGCCTTCTGTGCCCAGGAGAAGCGGAAAGCAGAGAGGAGCCTTCCCCAGAGAGCCGATGTCAGGGAGAAGGTGCCGAACAGCAGGTGAGCAGCAGCTGGTTAGCGCCTGTTCCGAGACAGGTGAGGGGTCCCCGTGTCACCAGCTGCCCCGCCCCAGAGATGGCTCCATCTCAGCGAGGGTTCCCCGTGTCACCAGCTGCCCTGCCCCGGAGGTGGGCACATCTCGGCGCCTGGCGAGGGGTCTTAGTCGTCATTCAGCTGTAGTAGGTTGTTATCCTCTCACCTGACACCCCACATCCCCCCCGGAGGGGAAACTAAGCTGCGGAGTGCTGGCCTGGGTTCTCCTTCCCCCACCAATGCCCCCAATCCCTCCCCCCAGGCCCAGCCCTCCCCAGGAAGAGCCCCCCAGCGAGGAGCGGAGGCGTCCCGAGACACTGCAGATCTGGCAGGAGAGGGAGCGGCAGCAGCAGGTGTTGCGGAGCCAGGCACTGGAGAAGCGGGACAGGTACGTGGGGGGGGCAGGCCCCCCGCCGGGGCCGGGTGGGGGTGTCTCGGCCTCCGCCCCCCTGACCCTCTCTGTCTCTCTTACAGCCTGCTGAGGATGGCGTCCAAAGAGAGCAGCAGCCTGCCCCAGAGGAAGCCGAGGGCCCAGGTGAGCGGGGAGCAACTGGGGTCAGAAGGGGTTTGGGGGGGGAAATGGACCCCATGGGACTCAGGCCGACTCTTCCCCCCCTCCTCCCCCATGTCTGTTTCAGGTCACGGAGCAGCCGTCCGGCATCCCCAGCCCGGCGTCCCCTGGGCAGACGCCCCGGCAGCAGGGTGAGTGCGGGGGGGGCGGGGTAACACTCGGGGTGCAGGGGGGCAGCAGGACACACATGGCCAGGGAGTGTCCGCAGGGAGGGGAGTGGGGGCTGGTGGTTAGAGCAGGGGGACTGGGAGCCAGGACTCCTGGGTTCTCTCCCCGGCTCCGGGAGGGGAGTGGGGGCTGGTGGGCTAAAGTGGGGCGGGGGCTGGGAGCCAGGACTCCTGGGTTCTCTCCCGGCTCTGGCATGGGACACGGGTCCCCCTGGGGTAGCTGATCGTGGCCGAAGGGACCTGCAGCACTGAGGTTCCAGCTGTGCCACTGGGGGGTGCTGTGGGGCAGGATCTCACCTTCCCTCTCCCCCTGCCCCCCAGAGTCCCCCCCCTCGCAGGTCTCCAGCCCCCTGGCACGGGAGCCCGGCTCGGCCCAGAAGCCCAGCAGCTTCCTCTTCCGCTCCTCGTCGCGGACCGCCATCAAGCCCGGCTCCGGTAGGTGGTGCCACACGGCTCTGTCCCCCTCTGCTGGCGGGCCGGGGTCCTGCCGTGGCGCCCGGCAGCTCTGCAGGTCCGGGGTTCGAATCCTGCCCACGGCCTGCAGACCTGCCCGGGGCCGCGCGCTCCCCACCAGCCGTGCGACTCCGTCCCCCTGAGCCCTGCCGTCCTCTCCGCAGCCTGCACCCCCCACGACTCCAGTGCGGACCCCCAGCACCCCCTGCGGCTACGGGCCGGCTCGCACGACATGGACGAGAAGGAGTTAACAGCCCAGCTCCGCAAGGTACAGCTGCGACCCACCCCCCCAGCTTCCACCCTGGGAGCGCTCAGCCCCCCGGTCCCCCTGCGAGCTCCACGCAGCGAGTCCCGCTGTGCGGGGCCTCTGGGGACCCCTCCCACGCCCTCCAAAGGCCCCTGCCTCCTCCCCCCCACCACCTGGGCTTCGTCTGTCTCCTGGGCAAACTGGTCCCCAGGGTGCTGTTCCCGGCCCCTCCGGCTGGCTCCTCGCAGGGGACGGGCCTGGCCATCAGCCTACAGAGTGTGGGCCGGTCTCTGAGCCCCATTAGCCAGTCGCCGTCACAGCTGCCTCCAGGGGTCGCTGCACCAATCCCACCCCCTAGATACAGGAGTGACATGTGGGGAAACTGAGGCACGCACACAGTATTCGGACAAAGCATTAAGAACGTTCCCACTTCGGCACACCTCCCCGCCCCCCGGACCCCGAAAGCCTGGCTGAGATCCCGCACCAGGGACTGCAAGGCTGGGAGCCAGGACGCCTGGGTTCTCTCCCAGCTCTGGGAGGGGAGTGGGGGCTGGCGGGTTAGCGCAGGGGGGGCTGGGAGCCAGGACTCCTGGGTTCTCCCCGGCTCTGCCCAGGGAAGTAATTTGACATTCCCCTAGATACCTGCCTTGCTCACTAAGTTCCCTGTAGTGAGCGCGTGCGTGGGGGGGGGTCCGTGAGCCCCGCCCACCTGCCCGTCTCTTCCCCCCCGCAGGCCATCGAGTCGCGGCTCAGCGTGACGCTGGCGGAGGACCTGGGTGACGCCCTGGCCAACGGGGCCGTGCTGTGCCAGCTGGCCAACCACCTGCGCCCGCGCTCTGTGCCCTTCATCCACGTCCCGTCTCCCGCCGTGGTGAGTGGGGATCCGGGCCCCGGACGCCTGGGTTCTCGCCCGGCTCCGGGAGAGGAGTAGGGTCTGGGGGTCAGAGCAGGGGGGGCTGGGAGCCAGGACGCCTGGGTTCCCTCCCCAGCTCTGGAAGGGGGTAGGGGCTGGTGGGGTAGAGGGGGGGTGCTGGGAGCCAGGACGCCTGGGTTCTCGCCCGGCTCCGGGAGAGGAGTAGGGTCTGGGGGGTCAGAGCAGGGGGGTGCTGGGAGCCAGGACGCCTGGGTTCTCTCCCCGGCTCTGGGTCTATCTGCACAGCGGAGGGCTGGTCTGCGTCTTTCTTCTTGAAACGAAACCTGAGCATCCGCATGATGGGACAGCAGCTTGGGCTTCCCTGGCCCCCCACCCCTCTTAGCCCCCCAGCCCTGCCCCCATTAGTCCCCCGCGGCCCCCCCTCCCGGCCCCCTCACCCCTCTCTGCTCTCCCCACAGCCAAAGCTGAACAAGATCAAATGTCGGAAGAACGTGGAGAGCTTCCTGGAGGCCTGTCGCCGCATGGGGGTCCCGGAGGTAACACGGGGGCTGCGAGCGAGTGGGCTGGGGGGGTCTCTCATTTCTGTGCCGTGCAGAACGTGGAGCCCCCATGTGTCTGCACTAGTGCAGGCCCCACCCCTTCATGTGATTGCCACGCCCCTCTTGTGCGAAGCCACGCCCCCTCACACAAGCCGTGCCCCTCTGGTGCGAAGCCACGCCCCCTCACACAAGCCACGCCTCGGGCACGCCTAGTGTATGGACTTCCAGCTGGTGCCGGAGGGACCAGCGCTGGGCTCTTCTCCCAGCATGACTTGGGGTCACCTCCCAGAATCCCCTGCTGCGCCCACCCCTCTGGGCCGGCGCCGGGCCGGTGCTGATGGCTCCTGTCACCCCTTCGCACGGCAGCAGCCTTGGGGCTGAGACCCTGCACGGCCCCCCCAGCTGGGCGTGGGGCCCGTCGTACAGCACCCAGCACTGACCCCAGGGGGAGAACCCAGGAGTCCTGGCTCCCAGCGCCCCCTGCTCTGACCCACCAGCCCCCACTCCCCTCCCGGAGCCGGGGAGAGAACCCAGGAGTCCTGGCTCCCAGCCCCCACAGCCCTCCCGGAGCCGGTCAGAGAACCCAGGAGTCCTGGCTCCCAGCCCCCACAGCCCTCCCAGAGCCGGGGAGAGAACCCAGGAGTCCTGGCTCCCAGCCCCCACTCCCCTCCCAGAGCCGGGGAGAGAACCCAGGAGTCCTGGCTCCCAGCGCCCCCTGCTCTGACCCACCAGCCCCCACTCCCCTCCCAGAGCCGGGGAGAGAACCCAGGAGTCCTGGCTCCCACCCCCCCTGCTCTGATCCACCAGCCCCCACTCCCCTCCCGGAGCCGGGGAGAGAACCCAGGAGTCCTGGCTCCCAGCGCCCCCTGCTCTGACCCACCAGCCCCGCTCCCCTCCCCGTCTGGCTCCAGCAGGGTCCCCTGGGTGCTGGCAGATGCAGGGTTGCCAGTCCCGCGTGGCGAGGGGGGCCCCCAGCTGGTCTCATGCCCCCCACCCCAGTGCCAGCCCCCCAGCACCTCCCTTAACCTCTCTCCTGTCTTTGTCTCCCTCGCCGGGCCCAGGTCGCCCTCTGCTCCGCCTCCGACGTGCTCCAGGGGGACGCCGGGCGGCTCCGGGGCACCCTGTGGGCCCTGCTGCGCCCCGGAGCCGCGGAGGAGAGCCCTGCTGCTGCCCACGCCGCGCCCGCCCTGCCCGGGCCCCTCGCCGGCTTCGCCCTCTTCTATGTCTCCGTGATGTCGCTGCTTTTCCTGGCCTATTGCAAGCTCTGGGGCTTCTGAGGAGCCGTGGGGGGCCCCGGCCCCCCCTAGTGCCTTAGAGAGACCTGCGGTGGGGTGGGGGGCTGGGTCAGTCCTCTCCCTCTGGGGCCTGGTGGATTTGGATCCCCGCTACCCAGCCCCACTTCAAACCCGCCTCCTCCTGCGGAGACCTGCTGTGGGTCCCAGAGCCCCGGTGTGGGCCCCGCTCCGGGCTCCCCCTTGGGGTGCGAGCTCGCCCCCTTCCCCAGCTCGCCAGTGCCTCTCAGTGGCCACGGGCTGCCCTGCGGCCAGCTCGGTTCGGCTGCCGTACCGCGGTTAAATTATACGGCTCTATATTTGATATATATATTTGAAAGCCGAGCCCGTCCGCCGGGCCGGCGTGTACAAATGTGTAAATAGCGTGTGGGTCCTTCTCTCTCGGCGATTTCCTGTTCTACGTGCGCCCCCCCCTCCCGGCGTGTCCCAGCCGCCGCGTGTGTGTCACGCCCCCCGCGCTGTCGTGTTCGTGGAGAAATGCAGCGCTCCAACCCACCGTGTGGCTTTTGTCTTGGTTTGCGTTGGCTTGTCTGTGCTTTGGCGTGGCCGGGCGGGTGCCCGCTGGCCCCGTGGCAGTGGGGTCAGGGGGGCGGTTCACGGGTCCCGTGGCGACTGGGGGCTCCCTTGGGCCAGGCGCTGCACAGAACCTGACCCGGGTCACGGCCCCAGTGGGTCGGCCTTGCACAGGGCTTGCTGGAATGGTTCGGTTCAAGGGGCCCATCTGGCCCGGCGTCCCGGCTGCTCTAAAGTCCCCCTCCCGCCCCCTCGCAGAGCGACGGCTCTCCCTCCGTGAGCGGTGGGTTTCTTCCACCAGCGCCCCCCGGTGGTGGAGGCCCAGGCAGCTGCCTCCAGCTCTAACGTCTCCTCTCTCCTCCCAGGAAGCCCTATGCCAGCCCCAGCACGTCCTGGACGAGGAGAGCCTGGCGCCGCTGGCCCGGACCGTCCAGGCCCTGCTGACTGTGGCCCCGCCCCTGAAGAAGCCGACGCCCCCCGAGGGCACCTCCAGCAAGATCTGAGGGGTGGGGGCCCTGGCACTAATGGCACGGCCGAGGGGCCAGGGACTAGAACGCCCCGGGCCCTGTGGGGGCTGGACAATGCTGAGAGTTCCCCCATATGGGGCAGTAGGGGGCCCGGCTCAACCCCAACAGCACAGACGGTACAGGGAGGGGCCCTGACCCCTGCCCCATAGCGAGGAATGGTGTCAGCGGTGGGATCCTCAGATCAAGCCCAGCTCCTGTTGCTCAACCCGTCCCCTCCAGCGGCTTTCCCCCAGGGCGGCCTGGCAGCTGCGCGAGCCCCCTTGGGCTAGAGTGCGGGGGGGAGGTTGTGAGCAGATGTGGGGTAAGGATGGGGGTGTTGAGCTCAAGGGGGGGGCTGTTTTATTTCCCTGAAGGGAGGAAATCGGGGCCAGGCACCAGCTGCTCCCCCTCTCGGAGCGACGGGCTCAGGCTCCCTGCAGACTCAGGCAGGGTCGCCAGACTGGGGTGTCTCGGGGCAGCCGCTGGCCGTGGGGCACTGGGGCTGTGTGGGGCTGCGGGAGGTCACAGGTGAAGAGGAGGCAGCCCCCACTCCAGCCCCCTTTCCTTCCTTTCCATGTTTCCTGGGGGCACATTGCCCTGACCAAGCGAGGGTTGGGGTGTGCCCCCTGGGCTGCTCCTGGCACCCCCCGTCCCCAGCAGCCCCTCGCTGCAGCCCTGCCCCCACCCCCAGGCCTAGGCCCCAGCCCCTGATTCCCCTCCTGGGGGGGGGGGGGTCCCGGCCGCTCCTGGTCTGAGCTGTACCCTGGGCCCCCCCTAACCCGCCTCCCGGTGAGGGGGACCACAGTGTCCTGGGTTCTCTCCCCAGCTCTGGGAGGGGAAGGGGGGCTGGGGGGGTGAGAGCAGGGGGGGCTCAGAGCCAGGACTCCTGGGTTCTCTCCCTGGCTCTGGGAAGGGGAAGGGGGGATGGTGGGTGAGAGCAGTGGGGGCTGGGACCCAGGACTCCTGGGTTCTCTCCCCTGCTCTGGGAGGTGTGGGGGGCTAGTGGGTTAGGGAAGGGGAGGGGAGAGCCCGGACTCCTGGGTTCTCTCCTGGCTCCCAGGGTTGTGCCCTCTAGTGGAATAAAGAGGTAAATGAACCACCTCCCTTCGCCTCTAGGCTGGTCTCTGGCACCCCCTGCCCCTACGGGCAGGGCTATTCCCCTCCAAATTGCCAGCCTCAGTTTCCCCTACCCTCACCCTGCACACACACCCCCGGATCAGGGACCCCCCTGCACCCCCCATCCACGAGGGGCTCTGTGCCCCCTTTTCCCCCTCCCTTGCTGGGTTCTGAGCTCCCCTAAACTCCTGGGGGTGCAAGGCAGTCCTGGCTTTACCATCCCCACATCCCGGCACTGGGGCCAGAGGTTTGGAGTGGTGGGGGGCTGGGAGCCAGGACTCCTGGGTTCTCTCCCCTGCTCTGGGAGGGGAGTGGGGGCTGGGAGCCAGGACTCCTGGGTTCTCTCCCTGGCTCCCAGGGCGCTTGTGCCCTCTTGTGGCAGAAGGAGGTAACTCCTTCCCATCCCTTGGGGGCTGGGTTCATCGCTCCTGCTCTGTAACGCACCCCCCACCGGCACTTAGGGGCCAGAGCCGGAGTCTCTTCCCCCCCACCCGGGGCAGGACCATCCCCTACAACTCTCCAGCCTCAGTTTCCCCTGCACGCTCTCAGCTCTTTACAACTGGAGCACACACACCCCCCCGCCAGCTCCGGGGCTCTCGGTACCTCCCTCCACCTCCCTTCCCGGTTTCTGACTCCCCCAAACACCACAGGATTTGGGGCTGCCTGGCCTCCCACCCCCAAATGCCATGTAGCAGTAGTTGGGCCTTTATCCAGGAGCTGCTGGGGGGGGGACACCCCAGACTGGAGCCCCTGGCCTGGCATGGGGGGGCGCTGATGGGAGTTAGACACCCATCCTGGGGCCGGGGGGGGGAGGAACGGAGACCCACAAACAACACAGCAGCCTGGGCCCGGTTTTCTTCCAACCTTTTATTGCAGCAAATAAAAACAAGATCTGGGAGTCGGGGGGGAGGTGGGGCAGTTCAGAGTTTGTCCCCCCCCCCCCCACAGCTCACTTCTCAACAGCGCCCCCCCCCCGTGGTGGGCAGGGGGGGGGGGGTCAGCCGCTTCACTCAGGCACTTGCGGTTCGGGGTGCGAGGGAAGGCACCTAATTCTGTAGAATACTTAAACCAGCCCCAACCTCCTCGGGTCTGCCAGCAGGGGGCGATCACGCTCCCCTCTGATTCTGGGGGCCAGGGGCAAGGAAACCACCCAAGTGGGCAGCCCCCACCTGCCCCGGCCCCGCTGGATCGCCCTCGGCAGTAACCCCCGGCCCTCATCCCGCCGGGCGGCCTCGGCCTTGCTCAACGCCGCAGCTTGGCCCCTCGCTAGTGCTGAAGCCGAGTCAGGCACCGGCCGGCTCTGCAGACGTGAGTCGGCCCCATCGCACGCCCAGCCATTACCGCCAAAGCCCGGGGGGGGCTCGAAACGCACAGAGCCAGCGGCGGGAGCTGGGGCGTCCTGGGGGGGCGTGGACCTGCTGGAGCCAGGGAGCTGAAAACCCCCAAGGTCTTTGCAAACCTCGTTCACGGGGGCGGTTTTCGGACGGAGATCTCGCTTCCCCCGGCTTCGGGACTCCCCCTCGCTTCTCCGTGAAAAGCCCCTTGAAGTACCGGGCTCGGCTGCAACGGTGGAGGAAATTTTCCTCTGCGGATCAAGCCGCGCTGCAAAACGATTTTGACCGAAGCCCTGCGTGAGAAACCTAAGCAACCCCCGGCCTAAGACACCTCGGCAAAGTTCTTGGCGTTAGATTTTATCTCCCCCCCCCCCCAAAAAAAAGAAAGAACTCAAACTGGGTTAGCCAACCTGGCACCCGGTTCCAGCCGTGCTGCTAAATCCCCTGGATTCGTTTTTGGATAAAGGATGCAAACAGCCCCAGATGATCAGTCAAAAACCTCTCCGCCAGGACGTAAATCACGCCGAGGAGGGGCAAGAAACTGCTCCCACCAGCTGAGACTCATTCTGCAAATCTCCCTCCGCAGAAACGAGGGCGGCGCATCGGCCGTAGCCCCCCGGTCAGCCTGGGTCACGCCGAAACGCGCCGGGGGTCTCCCTTCACGAGGGCAGAGGAGATGCCAGAAAATTCGTTCCCAGCCATCCCCCATTTTACCATAAAGCCGATCGGACACGAGCTGCAATAAAGAGACTTTATTATAACCAATAAACCCCCCCAACTTCCTACAGCTCCCATCTCGCAAACGAGGGACCCCCGAAACCGAGCTCCCGAGGCTGCAGTCAAGCGCTAAACCCCGCCGAGCGAAGGCCCGGCCCGTCGGCCACGCGCCGGGGGATCTTCCCGGCGAGCTCAGCCGGGGTCGGGCATGCGGCTCGCTCGGAGCCTGACGAAGGGCGGGTGGATTTAAGGCCTCGCAGCCGGAGCTATAAATTATGTGGTTTCAAACGAAACGTTTTAAAGCTAGTGCAAAAAACCAACCAGGTGCAAATCAGAAGCACAGAGCGAAGCCCAAATTCGAACCTAAGACCGGCCCCCCCACAACGCCCCATCTGCAGGGGTGCACTTTGGCTATGCGAGAGGGCACAATTCTCCCCCTCATGCTGGGGTGGGGGGAATAAAACACAGTGTGCAGATTGGGGGGAGCCTTTGGGGCATACCCCAAAAAACACAGACAGGCTGGGGTGGGGGGCAGGAAGGCACCAGAGGGTTGATGGGGGCAAAGGGGTGACCCCAACATAGATGGGGGGTTATCCCTGCAAATAAAGAATCAGCCCCCCCCCCGCAAAAAAAAGTCTCCATCCCAAGGGGTGAGAAGCTGGGACGATCCCCCACCAAAAAAAAAGTAAAGAATAAGCTTTGGTGCAGAGGGTTTCCCCAAAACTGGGGGTGACCTTGAAACCTCAAGCCCACAGTCAGGTGCTGGGGTATCCCCCCCAGCAGATACAAAAGCCCCACGGAGCACAAGGCACCAGCCCCCCCCAAACGTGAGTCTGTCTTTGGCTTGTTCTCCATAACCGCCCGAGAGCCACACCCCCAAAACAAAGGCACTTAAAGGGGTTCACGGTCCATCGGGAGGAAACCGACGCGCGTCGTCTGCGGAGGTATCAGGCAGCAGGCGTCCCGATGCGACCAGCTCTGGGGTGGGGAGCTGGTCACGAGCCAGGGGAGCCCCGAAGTCACCAGGTCGCACAGACAGCAAAGGGATCAGCACTCTGAAAGGGAGAGTCGAGAGAGGATCAATCCTGTATTAATACCCTGGCTGCAGCCACCTCTGGGGCGGGGCGGCTGGTGACACAGGGACCCCTCGCCCGGCAGGAAGAAAGGAACGAAACAGCTGGAAAAGAAAAGAAAAGGGGGGGGGGGAATAAACCTTTCCAGCCAGTTCCTCTCCGTTTCTTCTCCTCCGTTCAGAGTGAAGGAAGCAGGCCTAGAACCGGCGGGCTGCTTCTGTGCCCCCATAAAATTAAGAGACAACGTGGGATGGTGCGGGAGGAGAGTTTCAAGGGATCCCACAGAAAAAAAGCGGTTTCTAAAGGGGAACATCTCCACGTACGGTAAGAAGAGTCTGTTTCTAGTGCAAAATCCCAACGGCGGTCTGACTACGTGTCAAATTATTCAGGGAACGATTCACATGCCCACCGGCGAGGGGCAGTGACTCGCCAACACCCCCAAGAAAGACGGTTTCTAAGGGGTGACCCGAACAAAACAAAGAAAAAAAGGCAGAGTTTAGAGCCGCTGTTTCTCAGGCAACAAAGCCTGCGTCCAACCTTACCCCACCGTCAGTAGTTAAAATAAACACCTGCGTTCTGAAGGGGAAAAAAAATCTTTCCCTCGTCCCCAAAAAGGCAGTTTCTAAAAGAGAAAATCCCTGGCCCCAAAAAAGGTTTTAAGGGGGGGAACTGCAGCAGTTTCTAAAGGGGGCCCCTGGCCAATTAAAAAGAATGGTTTCTAATAGAGGACCCCCCCAGCTGTCTCTATGGGGGGAAACCCTTAGCCAAAGCAAGAAAAGGCGGTTTCTAAAGGGGACAGCGCACCGTGGGCAGTTTCAAGCGAGGGCCGGGCGGTTCTGTCCCACCCACGCTGCCTTGCCGACCACACGGAAACAGGTGAGTTGGCCCTGGAAGATGGGGGCCAAAAGCCAACCCCCAATTGTGGGTCTTTTTGGTAAAGAAAGAAGGCAGCTGCAGGCCCCCAAGGAGCTTTTAAAACCGCCGTTGACACCCTGCTACTGTGTTTACAAAGCCTTTGTTTTTGTAGGGTCGCCCCAAACCCTTGGGTGGTCGAGAAGCCACCGGCCTGAGTCCCAGCCCCGCTCCGAGTTTCGGGAGGGTAGCCCTCAACCTCCCCCCGCCAGCTCTTGTCAGACATTTGAGCGCTGTTTACAAGCAGGGTATTTTTGTAGGGTAGCTTCCAAAACAAACGCCTTGAGGGTGTTAGTAAGCAAAGGGGAAGGTTTCTGGCTACCCTGCAAGAAGCAGCTCTTTGGAAAACCAGGACCACCCCCCCCCCGACCCCGTAACCCCCAGACCCGCCACGTACCTGGCCCATCCCTTCCGCCGCGGCACCCCCGCGGGTCCTGGGAGCGGTGGAAGTCGATGCTGGCGTAGGCCTGGGGGCTGGGGCCGCCGGCCGCCCGCCTCCTTCCCCGGGCCAGGTCCAGGGCCACGTAGTTGAGTCCCGGCTCCTCCCAGGCCGGGGCGCCCCGCTCGCCGCAGAGCCGCCTGCCCGGATCCACCCTGGCCGGCTGGCCCGGGCCGGGCCGGTACTCGATGCTGACGTACTCCCCGTGGCTCGGGGGCACCGGCTCCCCCAAGCTCTCGTTGCTGGAGGAGGAGGAGGAGGAGGAGAGGCGACCGGGCATGGCCAGCTGGGCCCCGTGTTTGTAGGACCGCGGCAGAGAGCGGAAGGGGCAGGGGGCCTCCCCGGGGGCGCCAGGTGGGGGGCTGCGGCGCGGGGGGGTGCTGCCGGCCGAGCGCCACAGTGGGGACATGTTGACGTACTCGGGCGCCCAGCTCCCGCTGGGGGACATGAGCATATAGCCGGCGGCTTCGCCCCGGGGCGGAGAGACACCGCCGGGGCTCATGGGCACGTAGCCCGGCTGCCCCGCGCCCGGCAGGGCCGCCCCGGGCAGCATGGCCATGTAGCCGGACTCCGGGCACCACCCCGGCTTCCTCTGCCCGGCGCCTTTGCCCAGGGCCAAGGGGGGCAGCGATGGCCGCTTGCAGCCGGGCGCCCGCCCCTCCGGGGAGCCTGCCGGCTCCGGGCTGCCGGCCGGGCGCCCCTCCCCGGGGCTGGAGGAGCCGCCCTCATCCGACGAGGCCAGGGTGTAATCCCCGTCGGGCCGGCGGTGCCCGGACCCCAGCGGCTGGGCGGAGGGCAGGCGCCGGGCCGGCACCGAGACGGGGGCGGAGGCCTGGCCGCGGCCCCGCACCCGGCAATCCTCGCTCAGCCGCTTCATGGCCTCCAGGATGGACTCGTGGATGTGCCGGGCCACCACCAGGTCCTCCACCTGCATCCACAGCTCGCCGGGGCCCGTGGCGGCCGAGCGCCCCACCTCCAGGAAGAAGTAGTTCTCCGAGTGGCCGCAGCGCCGGACGCTCAGCAGCTGAAGCACCAGGCAGGGGGCCGGGGCGCTGAGCCGGACCAGCTCCACCGTGCTCTCCGCCAGGCACAGCCGGTAGACGCCCACCAGATTCTTGGCGTGCCCCAGCCCCTTGGGGCGCAGGGTCACCTGCCAGACCTCCCGGAAGGGCGCGGCCGCCCCGCTCCCCGGCTGCGACAGGCCTGCGGGAAGGGGAGGAGAGGGTTAAACCGGGAGGGGAACCTGGCTGGCTCTGGGGAGGGGGCAGAGAGGGCGCTTGGTGGGAGGCGGGTGACCCGGGGACCCCTCGTCCGGCGCCGAGATGCGCCCACCTCTGGGGCGGGGCGGCGGGTGACCCAGGGCCCCGCACTGAGCTCTGGCAGTGCCTGGATACGGGCACAGGCCTGGGGAACGGGGGGGGGGGGGCAGGTGGGAGAACAGGACCAAGGAACAAACAGACCCTAAAGTCCCAGTGCCGTGGCAACCACCCACATCACCCTGGCGACTGACTGTTTCCATGGGGACCCGGGGGAGCGGGGTACAGCCATGCTGGGAAACAAAACTGAATATTTAAGCAAAAGATTTCCTGGAATATTCCCCTGCTGGGCCCAGGGAGAGACCCAGGAGTCCTGGTTTCCAGCCCCCTCTGCTCTAACCCACCAGCCCCCCACTCCCCCCCAGAGCCGGGGAGAGAACCCAGGAGTCCTGGCTCCCAGCCCCCCCTGCTCTAACCCACCAGCCCCCACTCCCCTCCCAGAGCCGGGGAGAGAACCCAGGAGTCCTGGCTCCCAGCCCCCCTGCTCTAACCCACCAGCCCCCACTCCCCTCCCAGAGCCGGGGAGAGAACCCAGGAGTCCTGGTTTCCAGCCTCCTGCCAACCCCCCGCTCCCAGCCGGGGACCCCCTGCTCTAACCCACCAGCCCCCACTCCCCTCCCAGAGCCGGGGAGAGAACCCAGGAGTCCTGGCTCCCAGCCCCCCCTGCTCTAACCCACCAGCCCCCACTCCCCTCCCAGAGCTGGGGTGAGAACCCAGGAGTCCTGGCTCCCAGCCCCCCCTGCTCTAACCCACCAGCCCCCACTCCCCTCCCAGAGCCAGGGAGAGAACCCAGGAGTCCCGGCTCCCAGCCCCCCCCGCTCTAACCCACCAGCCCCCACTCCCCTCCCAGAGCCAAGGAGAGCGGGAGGGGCTGGGAACTAGGACTCCTGGGTTCTATTTCCCAAATCTCAGATGGGCAAAGTCCAGACCCAGAAGAGGCAGGGTGGGGGTGGATAAAAGCCCTGGTCTGGGTCCAAGCGCTGGCCGAGGAATGGGGCCAATCTGTCCCCTTCGTCCCAGGGCCCAGCGCCCAGACAACCCACCCAGGGCAGGCAGCCAGTGCCATGTGCAATAGAGACCAGCGATTCTGCAGGGGCTGGCGGGTTAGCGCAGGGGGGCTGGGAGCCAGGACTCCTGGGTTCTCTCCCCGGCTCTGGGAGGGGAGTGGGGGCTGGTGGGTTACAGCAGGGGGGGCTGGGAGGCAGGACTCCTGGGTTCTCTCCCCGGCTCTGGGAGGGGAGTGGGGGCTGGTGGGTTACAGCAGGGGGGGCTGGGAGGCAGGACTCCTGGGTTCTCTCCCCGGCTCTGGGAGGGGAGCGGGGACTGGTGGGTTAGAGCAGGGGGGCTGGGAGCCAGGACTCCTGGGTTCTCTCCCCCGCAGTGGGCTGCCCAGTTGTATTTTTCAGTCACTCCCTGTGTCACTGCCCAGGCTACCCCACCCACCAGCCTCCCCTTGCCAGGTCCGTAGCCCCCTGCCTGCCCTCACCCTTGGCGCGCAGGTCCATCATGGCGCGGAACCAGGCCTCCTGCTGCTCCGGGCTCTCGGCCGCCACCCCGAAGGTGCCGTCCCGGCCGTACAGGACGATGAGGTGCCGATGCCGGGCGTCCGCCCGCTTGTTGATGTTCAGGGCGCTGGCCAGGGGGAAGCTGCGTTTGGGGCGGGCGCCCCCGGCCCTGAATTTCTTCTCGCTGTCGTAGTACTCCAGGCGGGCTGGCCCCCGCTCGCTGGGTGCCCGCAGCACAAAAAACCGGCGCCGCTGGGACTTCTGCTTCCGCAGGTGCCCACACAGGTGGACGTCGGCCATGGGCGGGTCGCCCTCCGCGGCCGCCTCCTCCATGGCGCGCCAACTCAGGGGCCTGGGAGAGTCAAGGCATTTCCCCCCGGCCCTGTTTGCACCGCCAACCGCCAACACGGGCCGCTCGCTCCGGGGGGGGCAGAGGTTTGGGGGGGTGCCTGGGTTTTGTGGCTGCAGCTGTCCTTTTTGGGGGAGGCAATTCAAAGCGTGTGCCCCCTTTTCGTGGCGGCCTCTTTCGGGGTGCCGAGCTTCCGCAGTGCCACGGGTTTCACGCCTCCTCTGCGCCTCTTTCCCAGGAGTTCATTCCTCTCCCGTTTTGCAACCCCCCCTGTCTTTTAAAGGATGCCCCCCACAAGCTTTTGCAACAGTGCTAGGACCCCCCCTGGAGGGCAGAGGTTTAGCACATTCGCCCCCCTGGATTGAGCCCGCCGGAGGCCCAGGAGCGTCGAGGGAGGGACAGTCGCAAACTCGCCGCTGGCCTCTCTCGCGTCCTGCACGTGTCCGAAGTCCCCGCCGGGCAGCCAGGACCCGCTTCCCCGCGATTTCACGACCGGGCAGTTTGCAGCTGAAGTCGCCTCGCCACGGGCTCTTTTGCACAAGCCTTGGCGGTGTGCAAATAAAAGGCCCTTTGCAATCTCGCACGGCTGCAAAAAAAAACCCCCCAGCCCCGCCGCGGTGCAGCCGCGCACCCTGGTAGGCCCCCGCTGCTGCCTTGTTTGCACTGGGACACGAATTTCTTCTTTTGCAATCGGCTCCGGGGTTTGATTTTAATAGAAGTCACATGAAGAGAAGCAAAATAAATCAGCCGAGGGTTTTTTTTCCCCGTGCGGTTTTCTGGCGCAAACCTGGAAGCCAGCGAAGAAAGGCAGGGGGGGAGCAGGACTTGGAAACGAAGGAGAAAGGAGAGACGTTGCTTTTTCGCAGCAGGCCGGTTTCACCCGCAGAAGTTTGGACCGGAGCCTTGGCCCCGCTCGGGATGTCACCGCTGCAGAAAGCGACGCCGCCCGAAAGCCCGGCTCCGGATACCTTTCGGCAGACGCGGGACGCTGTCCGGCTGCGGGATTCCAGTCCGGCCAAGGCGAACGAGGAAAGGAGAAATTCAGGCGAGGGGGTGTCTAGTCACAAAGCCAGTCCCAGGCGGGCAGGCGAAAAGCCTGCCACGACAAGCCAAATGGCACCAAGAAAAGCCAAGGAGAAAACGCGACTTTTGGAAGGCGGCTGTTGGTGCTGCCCCCTGGGCCAGATATTGATGTCGCAAGAAGCGGGGGGGGGGGGGGCATGTTAACGCACGGGGGGGGGGTTCTTTGAGGATTTGCAGAAAAAGCAAAGGAGGGAGGGGGGAAAAAACGCCCAGCAACTGGATTTCCCCGGGTGCAAAAGCAGCTGGATCCTGCAAAACAACGTTCAGGGGGCGCCTCTGTGCAATTAGCAAAGAGCTCAGAGAGTTTTAGGGGGAGGGGGGGCTGGGTTTTAAACCCGCCCCCCCCCCGCGACCCCTTCCCCAAGGCAGACCCGTGCAAAAGGCAGGAGCTTCGCTTTGCAAAACGCCAGGCAAAGCTGCCCCGACTGGACAGCTGGATATTGCAAAAGGGGGGGGCGGGCAAACGCACCCCCAGGCTCCGGGTTTTTCTCCTCCTGCCGGGGGCCCGCCCCGGGGCACCAGCCAGCCCGGCCCCCGGCTCTCGTGGCGGGGGCAGCCCGGAGAGACCCCCGGGGCGCTGCTGCTGGGCAAGACCCGCTGCCATGCGGCTCCGGCTGGAGTTGATTGATGGCTCTGCAGGCGGGGGGGGGGGGGGGGGGGCCGGGGTGGATCGGTGGGGGAGGGATTTAAAGGGCCAGCAAAGGAGGGGGGAGCAGGCTACCCAACCCCCCTCCCTCCCCCAACCCCTCGGGTCCTACATCTCCATCACGGAGGGGGCAACCAGCCGCCCCGCCCCAGAGGTGGCCGCATCTCAGCGCTGGGCGAGGGGTCCCCGTGTCACCTGCCGCCCCGCCCCAGAGGTGGCCGCATCTCAGCGCTGGGCGAGGAGTCCCCGTGTCACCAGCCGCCCCGCCCCAGAGGTGGCCGCATCTCAGCGCTGGACGAGGGGTCCCCGTGTCACCCGCCGCCCCGCCCCAGAGGTGGCCGCATCTCAGCGCTGGGCGAGGAGTCCCCGTGTCACCCGCCGCCCCGCCCCAGAGGTGGCCGCATCTCAGCGCCGGGCGAGGGGTCCCCGGGTCACCAGCCGCCCCGCCCCAGAGGTGGCCGCATCTCGACGCCGGGCGAGGGGTCCCCGGGTCACCCGCCGCCCCGCCCCAGAGCTGGCTGCATCTCGGCGCCGGGCGAGGGGTCCCTGTCACCCGCCGCCCTGCCCCAGAGCTGGCTGCATCTCGGCGCCGGGCGAGGGGTCCCCGGGTCACCAGCCGCCCCGCCCCAGAGGTAGCCGCATCTCAGCGCCGGGCGAGGGGTCCCCGTGTAACCAGCCGCCCCGCCCCAGAGGTGGCCGCATCTCAGTGCTGGACGAGGGGTCCCTGTGTCACCGGCCGCCCCGCCCCAGAGGTGGCCGCATCTCAGCGCCGGCCGAGGAGTCCTCGTGTCACTCTCCGCCCCGCCCCAGAGGTGGCCGCATCTCAGCGCCAGGCGAGGGGTCCCCGTGTCACCTGCCGCCCCGCCCCAGAGGTGGCCGCATCTCAGCGCTGGGCGAGGAGTCCCCGTGTCACCAGCCGCCCCGCCCCAGAGGTGGCCGCATCTCAGCGCTGGACGAGGGGTCCCCGTGTCACCCGCCGCCCCGCCCCAGAGGTGGCCGCATCTCAGCGCTGGGCGAGGAGTCCCCGTGTCACCCGCCGCCCCGCCCCAGAGGTGGCCGCATCTCAGCGCCGGGCGAGGGGTCCCCGGGTCACCAGCCGCCCCGCCCCAGAGGTGGCCGCATCTCGACGCCGGGCGAGGGGTCCCCGGGTCACCCGCCGCCCCGCCCCAGAGCTGGCTGCATCTCGGCGCCGGGCGAGGGGTCCCTGTGTCACCCGCCGCCCTGCCCCAGAGCTGGCTGCATCTCGGCGCCGGGCGAGGGGTCCCCGGGTCACCAGCCGCCCCGCCCCAGAGGTGGCCGCATCTCAGCGCCGGGCGAGGGGTCCCCGGGTCACCCGCCGCCCCGCCCCAGAGCTGGCTGCATCTCGGCGCCGGGAGGAGGATTCCCCCCTCCCCGGTCTGGGACCCAGCCATGCGGTTCTGGTGTCTGGCTCCTCGGCCAATGGGGAGGTAGCGTTGGGCTCTGACGGCGGAATGTAGCCATCCCTCAGCCAATCAGCTGCAGCTCTGGGGCTCCCTCCCCCTCTTAACCCCTTCCTCCCTGCTCCCCACCCTCCCTCACCCCCCACAAGCCCTTCCCAGGGCCTGGGTCTCCCCACACCTGCTGCAGCGGGCCTCTGAGGGGCTGAGCCTGGGGGGGCGGTTATGGGGGGGTGAGTGTGCAAGGGAACGAGGAATTGTGCATCACACTCGCTGTGTGTGTTTGCACGCTTGGCTGTCCAAGGGCTCCTTGGTGACTGACGCCGGCAGGTGTCACCGGGTGACCGGTGCCGCGTTGTGATGGGCCCTATGGGGCAAGATTGACCGGGGGGGCACCGCTAAGCCCCGCTCCCCCACCGGCGCTTGGAGCAAAGTGCCGACAATCCCAGCAGCAGCGCCGGAGAGCAGCCGAGTCTTTCGTGGGCCTCACACGGCAAAGGGAGGTGAAGGAGGCCGGTGGGGGGGGCCCCCTGGTGTTCATGGGGTGCTGGGGGGCGCAGCATGGCAGGCAGACCCACACAGGGTGTGGTCACAGCGTGTGTGTGTGTGGGGGGGGGTGACTGAGCAGCCACGGGTACCCCGATCGGGGGTCCCGGCGGAGACCCTAAACCCAGCCCCCCACCCAGCCCCCCAGCAGCGCTCCTCACTCCTGACCCACAGCCCCTGCTAGCCCAGCCCCGCCGGTGCCCCTCACTCCCCACCCGCAGCCCCTTGGAGGCCGGCTTGCCAGCGTGGCCGGTCGCAGGTCACCAGCTCTGACCCCCAGGGCCACCCTTGACTTGCAGCTTGACCCCAAGGGCTGTTAGAGTCTGCAGAGCTGAGATAAGGTGCCCAGGGAACCTGGCGCAATAGATCCCCCCCGCTGGCCCCCCCCGGGCAGGGGGCTGACGAAACACAAGGCCTGTCCCGGGCTGGGGAGGGGGGTGAGGGGCACGGGCAGGGTTCGGGGGGGGGCAGGCCTGGGCTGGCAGGGGCTGCGGGTCCGGAGTGAGGGGCACCCGGGGGGCTCCGTGCAGTGGAAGCTGGGGGGGGGCGGCAGGGAATTGTTTATAGTAAATAACGCAGCCCAGACGGGAGGAATTGTTGTCTCAGGGCTGAGCCGTGAGCCGCCCTGATAGCCATCGGCCACCAAGTCCTTGAACTAGCCATAAACCGCCGGGGAGGTCACAGGGGAGGGGGGCTGGCACCCTAAACCAGGTGCCGGTGCCCCTCACTCCCGACCCGCAGCCCCCTGGGTCTCCAGCCCACCCCCCCGCCAGCCCTGCCGGTGCCCCTCACTCCCGACCCGCAGCCCCTGGGTCTCCAGCCCACCCCCGCAGCCTGCCGTGCCCTCACCCCGACCCGCAGCCCCTCTCAGCCCACCCCCCGCCAGCCCTGCCGTGCCCCTCACTCCCGACCCGCAGCCCCCTGGGTCTCCAGCCCACCCTCCCCCAGCCCTGCCGGTGCCCCTCACCCCGACCCGCAGCCCCCTGGTCTCAGCCCACCCCCGCCAGCCCTGCCTGCCCCTCACTCCCGACCCGCAGCCCCCTGTCTCCAGCCCACCCCCCCCAGCCCTCCGTGCCCCTCACCCCACCCAGCCCCCTCTCCACCCACCCCCCCCAGCCCTCCGCCCCTCACTCCCGACCCGCAGCCCCCTGGGTCTCCAGCCCACCCCCCCGCCAGCCCTGCCGGTGCCCCTCACTCCCGACCCGCAGCCCCCCTGGGTCTCCAGCCCACCCCCGCCAGCCCTGCCGGTGCCCCTCACTCCCGACCCGCAGCCCCCTGCTAGCCCAGCCCTGCCAGTGCCCCTCATTCCTGACCCACAGCCCCCTGCTAGCCCAGCCCACCCTCCCACCAGCCCTGCCGGTGCCCCTCACTCCCGACCCGCAGCCCCTGCCAGCCCTGAGGCCCTCCTGGCCCCGGCTCTCCGGGTTCACGGCAGGTCTTGACGCCGGTTTCCCGGAACGAGGTTTATTCTTAGCTCCCAGGGAGATAAACAATTCGGGGCGAGCCGCCCCCCCTCCTTCCCACCAACCCTGCCCCCCCCCCGAGACATCAGCGGTGACCTCACAAAGGCTCTGCCCTGGCACCCGCTGCCCCCCCCACTCTGGAGCCCCTCTCTGCCCCCCAGCACCCCCCCTTTCCCCCCCAATGCTACTTTCCTGCTCCCCCAAGGCCCAGGGACCCCCCCTTCCCCCCTCCAGCCTGCCAGCCCCCCAGGGGGCATGTCTGCAGCCAGGCCGCCCCTCGCCACCCTCCTCCTGGTGGCCCTGAATGTGGGTCTCTACGTTCGCCCCCTGGGGCCCCCTGAAAACACCTGCCTCAGCGTGGAGGGGGTCTGGGCTCTGGGCGAGTGGCAGCGTGTCCTGCTGGCCCCCTTCCACCACCTGGGGTGGGGCCACCTGGGCCTGAACATGGGGGCGCTCCTGTGGCTGGGGGCAGGGCTGGAGTGGAGGGTGGGGAGCGCCCGGGCGGGCTGGCTCCTGGGGAGCATGACGCTGCTGGGGGGGCTGGTCCATCTAGGGCTGAACGCGGGGCTGGCGGCCGTCCTGCGAGATCCCCGGCGCCGGGAACACTGCGCCGTGGGCTTCTCAGGTAGGCAGCCTGGGCCCAGCTGCGGTGGGACCCAGGTGTCCTGGCTCCCAGCCCCCCCCTGCTCTAACCACCAGGCCCCACTCGCCTCCCAGAGCCAGGGAGAGAACCCAGGCGTCCTGGCTCCCAGCCCCCCCTGCTCTAATCACCAGATCCCCCACCTTTCCCAGAGCTGGGGAGAGAACCCAGGCGTCCTGGCTCTCAGCCCCCCCTGCTCTAACCTCCCAGCCCCCACTCCCCTCCCAGAGCCGGGGAGAGAACCCAGGCGTCCTGGCTCCCAGCCCCCCCCCCCCGCTCTAACCTCCCAGCCCCCACTCCCCTCCCAGAGCCGGGGAGAGAACCCAGGAGTCCTGGCTCCCAGCCCCCATGGTCGTAACCACCGAGCCCCACTCGCCTCCCAGAGTCGGGGAGGGAACCCAGGCGTCCTGCTTTACCTGTCTGATCCCTCGCCCCCCCTTTCGCAGGGGTCATCTTCTGTCTGGAAGCCATGGAGGGTATCCTAGCACCTGTCACCATAGTAACCCTGGGCAGCGTCACCATAACGACCCGATGGCTCTGTCTGGCTGAGTGCATCACCGTGAGCCTCCTGTACCCCAGGTGGGCACTCGGGGCCGCCGTGGGGCAGGGCAAAGGATGGGGGGCAGGGGGCGCTATAGGGCAGGGTGGGGGATGGGTGGCTCAGCAGGGGGCGGGGCAGGGCAGGGGGCGGGGCAGAGGGCGCTGTGGGGCAGGGGGCACTGCCCCGCCCCACTCTGACCCCCATCTCTCCTCCGCAGCAGCTCTTTGACAGGCCACGTGTCGGGAATCCTGGTGGGCGTGGCTCTCGCGGCCACGCCCCTCGTCTTGGCCACGCCCCTCTCCACCAGCTCATGATGGTGCCGCGGCTCACAAGGAAGAACTGTCCCCACCCCACCGCCGGGGGGCGCCCTGGATCCAAACCCACCCGTGAGTGACAGTACCTCTGGGAGTGGGGGGTTAGAGCAGGGGGCTGGGAGTGGGTCTCGGCTCTGGGAGGGAGGGAGGGGCTGGTGGGTTAGAGTAGTGGGGGCTGGGAGCCAGGACTCCTGGGTTCTCTCCCCGGCTCTGGGAGGGGAGCAGGGGCTGGTGGGTTAGAGCAGGGGTGGCTGGGAGCCAGGACACCTGGGTTCTCTCCCCGGCTCTGGGAGGGGAGCAGGGGCTGGTGGGTTAGAGCAGGGGTGGCTGGGAGCCAGGACACCTGGGTTCTCTCCCTGGCTGTGGGAGGGGAGGGGAGTGGGGTGTGTGTATTTGTGACACCAGGTGACTCAACTGCCCTCGGCCCCATGGCCCAGCCCAGATGGCCTGGGGGGGCCCGGTGCAGCAGTGGCTGGAAGGGAACAGAGCCCCCCAAATCTAACAGCCCGCTGTCGTCTCTGTTTCCGCAGGCCCAGCCCGGAGCCGCCAGCCCCACGGCGCTAGTTTGGCTCCCAGGCCTGTTTTGTCAACCTGGGTCTGGTGCTGTTTGTAGGTAAACACGCCCGGGCCACGTCTGAGAGCCCCTCTGTTTCCACTGCACACAGCAGGCACCTGCCCCATGCCCGGCCCCAGGGCAGGGACTGGCTGGCTCAAGGGGGCGGGGTATGGGGCACAGGCTGGCGCACGAGTGACCCCACGGGGGCGGGAGAGGGCGAGGCAGAGCAAACGTCCCCTGCCGCCCCGTGCCCCGGGGGCACAAGGCAGCGTGACGCGCCGCCCACAGGCAGGGCGGCAAAGCCCCATGTGGCCATGCACGTTGGTGTCGTGCAATGAACGGCCAAGCGCGTGAGCGGCTGCTGGTGCCAGGCCCAGGGGCGGGCGCGGGGGGAACCCGCTGGAGCCCCGGGGATAAGGTCACAGCGCCTGAGCTCAGGGTGCGAAGCATGCCGATTGGCCGAGGGGGCCTGGGAGAGCACAAGAGAAAGCTCAAGCGGGCGTGCGGGAGGGCAAGTGTGCGAGAGCACACTAGCGTGCAAGGGCCGAGGCACAAGGAGAGCATGCAAGAGGGACAGGCACACGGGGGGGCGGGGAGAGAGGCGAGGTTTTGCAAACCTCCAGAGCCACGTGTGGGCGAGAGCGCTCGTGCACGTTGAGACGTGGAAGGGGAGAGAGCAGCACCCAGGATCACCAGGGAACGTGCGAGAGATGTGCAGCGTAAGCAGGCAGGGCCGGGCGCGGAAGCACGAGACTGTTGCAGCACTCGTGTAGGATCACAAGCGGGTGCAAGGACACAGCAGGACACACCCAGTGTCACAGCTACACACCCACAGGCTCACAGGCACCTGTGAGATGCAAGCGGCCCGCGCACAACTGACCATAAACACACGCAAGGGTAGGAGCGGGGGGGGTGCTAAGCACGTGCCCAGCCTGTCACGAGGCAAGGACATTTGTGTGCACGCTCCCACATGCACAGGACTGCACGCCAGATCACAAGCACTCACACTCGGGGGCCGACAGTGCACAAGTGCATCGGCAGGCAAGCTCATTACGGGCCACACAACTGCAGGCATGTGTGAGGTCACAAGTGCACTGCATGCACAATCACAGGTGCCCGCAGAAGACCAGAAGCGCACACACAAGATCACAAGAACACTGCACGCAAAGTCACAAATGCACATGCCAGATCACAAGCGCACGATCACAAGCGCACTGCACGCAAAATCACAAGCGCACTGCACGCAAAATCACAAATGCACATGCCAGATCACAAGCACACGATCACAAGCGCACTGCACGCAAAATCACAAGCTCACTGCAGCAAAATCACAAGTGCATGATCACAAGGCACTGCACGCAAAGTCACAAATGCACATGCCAGATCACAAGCACACGATCACAAGCGCACTGCACGCAAAATCACAAGCTCACTGCAAGCAAAATCACAAGTGCATGATCACAAGCGCACTGCACGCAAAATCACAAATGCACATGCCAGATCACAAGCACACGATCACAAGCGCACTGCACGCAAAATCACAAGCGCACGCACAAGATCACAAGAACACTGCACTGCATGCAAAATCACAAATGCACATGCCAGATCACAAGCGCATGATCACAAGCGCACTGCAGGTAAAATCACAAGCACACGCACAGGGTCACAAGCACATTGCACGCAAAGTCACAAGCGCACACGCAAGATCACAAGAACGCTGCATGCAAAATCACAAATGCACATGCCAGATCACAAGCGCACGATCACAAGCGCACTGCACGCAAAATCACAAGCGCACAAGCCGGATCACAAGCACATGATCACAAGCGCACTGCACGCAAAGTCACAAGTGCACAAGCCGGATCACAAGCGCACTGCATGCAAAAATCACAAGCGCATGGACAGGGTCACAAGCAGACGCACAGGGTCACAAGCACACTGCATGCAAGATCACAAGTGCACCTGCCTGCAACATCACAAGCGCACGCACAGGGTCACAAGTGGGGCCCAGAGCATTAGTGGGCCACCCCCAGCCTACCAGGTGACAGCAGCCGCTGGATTCGGCGTCGCACCCAGGGTCCCTGCCGATCGGCCCCTCTTCCCCGGGAACGACCCTGGGGCCCTCTGCAGGGGGCACAGATGTGGGTGGTGCCCAGCCCAGGAGGCCGGGTGGGGGGCTCGGCTCCTCTCCCCACAGAGGACGGCAGCCGCAAAGGTCCAATATAGTTTTTATAGAGCGAAATCAAGAGAACAATTTCCAGCGCCAAAACCGTCTCTATATATTAAAAAGATCATTCACTTTTCTCTCAGAAAAATACTGCCAGCGTGGCCCCTCCGGGGCCCTGCTTTGTTGGGGGGGGGCAAAGTGTGCCCCCCCCCCCGCAAAGCCAGGAGGGGGTGTGAAGCCGAGCAAGGTGATACTTGTCCGAAGCGGCAATGGGGGGGTGATCTCTCACCCAGGGGGGGAAAGGGGTGCTGGCTGGTTAAATGCGGGAGGGCCAAGATTTCGGCAGCAGCGTTCGGGGGGGTCCTGGGGATGGAGGGGCTGAAAAAGGATCCCAAGTGCAGAAGAAACTGACAAAGAAATTAGCAAATGGTGGGTCTGGGAGCCAGGATGCCTGGGTTCTCTCCCTGGCTGTCGGCGGGCAGTAGGGGCTGGTGGGTTAGAGCAGGGGGGGCTGGGAGCCAGGACTCCTGGGTTCTCTCCCCAGCGCTGGCAGCAGAGGGGGCCGCCCATGGTGCAGGTCTGGTGCCTCCCCCCGAGTGGCCACAGGACCAGGCTGGTCTAGATCGGGGCTCCCCTCCCCGCTTAGCGCACGCCGTCGAGGGGGACAGTCCGTGCTGGGGATGCCGTTGTGGGACTGGGATCTGGGGTGCCCAGCTGCTCTGGGCAGCCCCCCCGTGGGGTGTGTGTGTGTGTGTGTGATTTGAGTGCCAGCAGCCGCCAGGCCAGAGCCGCGAGGGGGAGCCTGAAGGCAGGGCCAGGTTCGCCCACCCCTGTCCAGGGAGTGGGGGGCAGGGACGTGTGGGGGCTGCAAGGAACCAGCTGGCCAGGGGTGGGGGTGACAGCAAGGGGGAGGGGTGGTATGGAGCCAGGACTCCTAGGTTCCACCCTACGAAGAGGGGCCGGGGCTGCATGGTCAGTGGGTCTGGGTGGGGAGAATCTCACTCGAGCAGAGCCCAGACCAGGGTCGGATCAGAGCAGCTCAGAGGGGGAGAGCTCAGCCCCCCTAAAAGGCAGAGCCCCAGGGTGGAGCCCAGCCCCCCAGGGCAGAGCCCAGGCTCAACCCATCCCCCCATGATGGAGCCTCCCAGAGATCCCAGCCCCCCAGGGATCCCAGCCCCCCAGGGCAGAGCCCAGGCTCAACCCAACCCCGCAGGGATCCCAGGCCCCCAGCCCTCCATGATGAAGCCCCCCAGAGATTCCAGCCTCCCAGGGATCCCAGCCCCGCAGGGCAGAGCCCAGACTCAACCCAGCCCCCAAAGGGACCCCAGCCCCTCTTGCTCAGGAGGAGAAGCAGAGAGACTCCCTTCCCCAGCATGCCTTGCTGCCCCGCCTCCAGCTCCCCCGGGGTTCCCATCTGGACCACAAGGCCCGGCAGAATCCCAAACCCTCTTAAGGGCCAGCTCACCCACTGATCCACTTTCCCAGCGTGCCCTGCTGAAAAATCCCCATCTAGACTACAAGTCCCAGAATGCCTCGGTGCTGGGCTCTGAGCCTCTCTTCAAGGGCCAGCTCTCATTGGGGCCGATTCCCTCAGAAGCCATCGCAGTAGTTAAAGCACTTGGTCCAGCCCATCCCCACGGCGTCAGGGCTGTGGAGCCGGAAGCTGGCAAGGGGGTGCAGCTGCAGCGGCCTGCCCCCCGCTGGACAGGAAGGGCACTGCCAGCCCAGAGCAGCCGTCTGGGCGTCGCTATAAGAAGGGGTTGGTGGCTGGATGCTTGATGACGAAGGGCGGGGATGGAGCTGCCGTCTGGGGGGAAAGAGGGGGGGTTAGGGAGACGGGGCACAGGCGGCTGTAACTGCTCACACAGTCAGACACCAACGCCCGTCGGATCCCTGACTTGTACCCACAACCCGGCCCAGACCCTAGGTCCAAGGCTGCTTGTCAGCCGGGCCCCCACAGAGAGGGCGTGGGGCACCGCCCATGGGTGAGGGGAGTCGATGCAGGGGCCACGGGGTGCAGAAACCAGCAAGGAGGGCATCCCACTGTGCAGATAATGGGACTGATCTGGGCAATCGGGTGAGTCAGCAGAGCGGCTCTGCCCTAGGGAAACGATGCTGGGACCTGGCGTTCCAGCTTTGCCGTGGGGCTGCTGAAGCCAGAACCCCCTGGAAAGCAGAGCATGGCAGGGCCCCACTGCAACCCGACTGGCTGGAAATGGGAGGGTCCTCACCATGAAGGGATTGGTGGAAATCCCGACCGGCTGCCCCACTTGGGCTGCAGTAAACCCATCAAAACTGGAACCTGCAGGGGGAGAGAAGCTGGCAGATAACCCAGGAGTCCGGGCTACTGGCCCCCCCGGTCTAACCCACCAGCCCTTACTCCCTTTCCAGTGCCCAGGAGAGAACCCAGGCATCCTGGCTGCCAGCCCCCCCGCTCCAACCCACCAGACCCCACCCTACTCCCCTCCCAGAGCCAGGGAGAGAACCCAGGAGTCCTGGTTCCCAGACCCCTGCTCTAACCCACCAGTCCCCACTCCCCTCCCAGAGCCAGGGAGAGAACCCAGGAGTCCTGGCTCCCACCCCCCAGGCGGAGGCTCACCTGGCGCAGTGCCGTTGGGCTGGAAGGGGTTGGTGGAGGGCCGGGCGGGCGGGGCGGCGGGCGGGGCGAAGGGGTTGGTGTAGGCTGGAAGAGAGGGTGGCACAGGAGAGGCGGCTCATTGCTACTGGCTGCCGACGAGCGCTAGACCCCCCCCCCCCGGGCCAAAGCAAAAGCCACCTACCCCCGTAGGCGGGCGCGGAGCCGGACGGGAGCAGCGCCGCCGGCTGGCTCAGGCTCCCGAAGAGGCTGCGGAGGAGAGAGACGGTGTTAGCCAAACCCACTGGGGTGGGGGGGAGTGCCGAGATCCCCCCCCAGTAGGGGGCAGTCCTGCTTGCCCCCCGCCCCACACAGACTGCACCCTCTGCAATGCCCCTGGGTTTCCCCACGGTCCACGCCCAGCGGCGGGGCCTGCAGTCCAGGGGCCGGCCAGTCTCCTGGGGTCCCCCCGCCCAGGGTGGGCCCGGAAATGGGGTTAATACCTGCTGGGTGCTCCGCCCATGTCCGGGATCCCGCTGCCAGGGTGGCTGGAGGGGGAGGTACCGAAACCGCTCACCGGGGCACCCCCTGCTGGCACAGAAGGGAACAGCCTGGTCACCCCCGCCAAGGCTCACGCCCTCCCTCTGGGGGTTGGGGGAGCGAGAGCACCCTGCGGGCGCCAGGTCGCCCCAGCCCCACTGCACCCAGCAGAGGCCAGCGCCAGCTCCCCCGGTGCCCATTCCAGGCACCACTGCAGGACTCAGGGCACCGTGCGAGCCAGGAGAGTAACGTTATTTTTGATAGGTCCTATAGTAACTCGCAACTAAACTAAAATTGATTTTCCCCCGTCCTGAGCCTGCAGCCAACTCCAGATGCTGGGGATAGACCCAGCATCCTAGCTCCCAGCCCCCCAGTCCCCACTCCCCTCCCAGAGCTGGGGAGAGAACCCAGGAGTCCTGATCCCTAAGTCCTGTATCACAAGGGAGAAGCAAACCATGATCATTATCTCACCAAAGCTGTAACCGGCTGGGACTGTCCGACTGGCTGGGAACAGGAAACAGAGAGCAAAGGGTTAAAGCAAGAGAGACCCCAGAGGAGCCGCACCCCTCTCCCCGCAGAGCTCAGGGGACCCCAGGCCTTGGGAGCAGGGACGAGGGACAGTCCCCCAGAAATACCCACCTAAAGAGGGGGAGCAGGAGAAGATCCCCACATGGGCCAACCAGTCATCCGCACATTCCCAGCTGAGAGAGCCTAATGCTCTGCCCATTCTCGTGAGCCGGGCAGAGAACCCAGGAGTCCTGGCTCCCAGCCCCCCCTGCTCTAACCCACTAGCCCGCACTCTCCTCCCAGAGCCAAGGAGAGAACCCAGGCGTCCTGGCCGCACCCCTGCTCTAACCACTAGCCTGCCTGTCGCCTCTCTCTGACGCAGCGTTCACGCCAAGGAAGGCCCGGGCAGCGGGAGGGGCAGGGGGAGCGTTACCTGCGGCTGTTGGCTGGGTGTGGAATGGCACCGATGCCCCCCCGAATGCCGACGCTACCGGGCTGCATCCAAAGGCATCAAAATTGGCAAAGGCGGTGTGGGCTGGAACCTGGCCTGGGGAGGACACAGGAGGTCAGCCAGCTCCCAGCCTGTACTACCCAGTGTCACCACACGGGGGCCTCGCTAGCCAGTGCTCTATGGTCAGCCAGCTCCCAGCCTGTACTACCCAGTGTCACCACACGGGGGCCTCGCTAGCCAGTGCTCTATGGTCAGCCAGCTCCCAGCCTGTACTACCCAGTGTCACCACACGGGGGGGCCTCTCTAGCTCAGTGCTCTATGGTCAGCCAGCTCCCAGCCTGTACTACCCAGTGTCACCACACGGGGGGGGTCTCTCTAGCCAGTGCTCTATGGTCAGCCAGCTCCCAGCCTGTACTACCCAGTGTCACCACACGGGGGGGTCTCGCTAGCCAGTGCTCTATGGTCAGCCAGCTCCCAGCCTGTACTACCCAGTGTCACCACACGGGGGGGGGGTCTCTCTAGCCAGTGCTCTATGGTCAGCCAGCTCCCAGCCTGTACTACCCAGTGTCACCACACGGGGGGGGGGGGGTCTCTCTAGCCAGTGCTCTATGGTCAGCCAGCTCCCAGCCTGTACTACCCAGTGTCACCACACGGGGGGGTCTCTCTAGCCCGTGCTCTATGGTCAGCCAGCTCCCAGCCTGTACTACCCAGTGTCACCACACGGGGGGTCTCTCTAGCCAGTGCTCTATGGTCAGCCAGCTCCCAGCCTGTACTACCCAGTGTCACCACACGGGGGCCTCGCTAGCTCAGTGCTCTATGGTCAGCCAGCTCCCAGCCTGTACTACCCAGTGTCACCACACGGGGGCCTCGCTAGCCAGTGCTCTATGGTCAGCCAGCTCCCAGCCTGTACTACCCAGTGTCACCACACGGGGGCCTCGCTAGCTCAGTGCTCTATGGTCAGCCAGCTCCCAGCCTGTACTACCCAGTGTCACCACACGGGGGGGTCTCTCTAGCCAGTGCTCTATGGTCAGCCAGCTCCCAGCCTGTACTACCCAATGTCACCACACGGGGGCCTCGCTAGCCAGTGCTCTATGGTCAGCCAGCTCCCAGCCTGTACTACCCAGTGTCACCACACGGGGGCCTCGCTAGCTCAGTGCTCTATGGTCAGCCAGCTCCCAGCCTGTACTACCCAGTGTCACCACACGGGGGGGTCTCTCTAGCCAGTGCTCTATGGTCAGCCAGCTCCCAGCCTGTACTACCCAGTATCACCACACGGGGGGGTCTCTGTAGCCAGTGCTCTATGGTCAGCCAGCTCCCAGCCTGTACTACCCAGTGTCACCACACGGGGGCCTCGCTAGCTCAGTGCTCTATGCTCAGCCAGCTCCCAGCCTGTACTACCCAGTGTCACCACACGGGGGTCTCTCTAGCCCGTGCTCTATGGTCAGCCAGCTCCCAGCCTGTACTACCCAGTGTCACCACACGGGGGGGGGTCTCTCTAGCTCAGTGCTCTATGGTCAGCCAGCTCCCAGCCTGTACTACCCAGTGTCACCACACGGGGGGGTCTCTCTAGCCAGTGCTCTAAGGTCAGCCAGCTCCCAGCCTGTACTACCCAGTGTCACCACACGGGGGGGGTCTCTCTAGCCAGTGCTCTATGGTCAGCCAGCTCCCAGCCTGTACTACCCAGTGTCACCACACGGGGGGGGTCTCTCTAGCCAGTGCTCTATGGTCAGCCAGCTCCCAGCCTGTACTACCCAGTGTCACCACACGGGGGGGTCTCTCTAGCCAGTGCTCTATGGTCAGCCAGCTCCCAGCCTGTACTACCCAGTGTCATAACAGGGGGGCCCCACTCTTGCTCAGCTGTTCACATTAGCGCTGTATGGCTGCCGCGGGCAGGGAGCAGCTGGTCCTGTGGCTCCCCTGCCCCCCATACTTACCCGGGAAGGCAGGGAACATGGCGAAGGCGGGGGCCGGCTGGGGCGCAGCGAAAGGGTCCCCTCCTATATCCGCCAGGAGGTCCGTGCTGGCTTTCTTGGCCGGCTGGGGGGTGCGCTGCTGCGGCAGGCGGGGCTGGCCCAAGGTCTGAGAGACACAACCAGTAACAGGCCTGGGGCCTCGGCATCCTGGCTCGCAGCCCCACCTGCTCTAACCTACCAGCCCCACTCCCCTCCCAGAGCTGGGGAGAGAACCCAGGCGTCCTGGCTTACCCGGCTGGATCCGGCAGCTGTGAGCAGTGCTCCCGAGTCCCCTAGAAGGGTCTGCTGCGGCTTCACCTCTGGGGCGGAGCTCTGGCCGGCCAGGGAGGCAGTGCCCTTGGCTTGATCCGGCGAGATGTACCTGCAGAGGGAGCCAGACAGACACATTGCCAGCACCAGCCACAGGGACACCCGCACCCGCTACCATGGTCAGAGAACCTTGTGGGCCTACAAAAAGACGATGACAGCAGGATTTGAGCAGCCAGGACTCCTGGGTTCTCTCCCCGGCTCTGGGAGGGGAGTGGGGTCCAGTGGGTTAGAGCAGGGAGGACTCCTGGTTTCTCTCCCCGGCTCGGGGGCACATCAAGTACGCCAAGGAGCAGGAACTGTGTCTCCCCACTGCACCCATGGAAGGGACTGCAGGGGGGGTGAGGCCCAGTTTGCTGGGAACCAGGGACAGCCCCCTCCCCTCCCAACCCCACTCATCCGCCGCTCCGCATTTACCATCGCTTCTTCTCATATTTCTCCTGCAAGAACTCCTTCACTTTCTGCGGGTCCCTGGAGTCCGGGAGCAGCGACGTGCGCGGATCGAAGGAGCCCAGCCAAACCTTCCGGCAGGCCTAGGGCCAGCAAGACTTCATTAGACAAAGGAGGAGGGGAGCCAGGACTCCTGGGTTCTGTCCCCGGCTCTGGGAGAGGAGCGGGAGCTGGGGGGTTAGAGCAGGGACGTGGGAGCTAGGACTCCTGGGTTCTGTCCCCGGCTCTGGGAGAGGAGCGGGAGCTGGGGGGTTAGAGCAGGGACGTGGGAGCTAGGACTCCTGGGTTCTGTCCCCGGCTCTGGGAGAGGAGCGGGAGCTGGGGGGTTAGAGCAGGGACGTGGGAGCTAGGACTCCTGGGTTCTGTCCCCGGCTCTGGGAGGGGAGCGGGAGCTGGGGGGTTAGAGCAGGGACGTGGGAGCTAGGACTCCTGGGTTCTGTCCCCGGATCTGGGAGGGGAGCGGGGGCTGGTGGGTTAGAGCGAGGGAGCTGGGAGCCAGGACTCCTGGGTTCGATGTACAATGGGCTCTCCCTGGCCGCTCACCTCGTTGCCGCGGGACTGCAGGAACAGCACGTCGGACTCGGTGAAGGTGGTCATGGAAATGGATTTGACGCGGTGCGGGGGGTTCAGGCCCCGGCTGCAACAGAGACAAGCATTACAGACCTGGCCAGACCCCCGTCCCCGAGCCGGGGAGAGAACCCAGGAGTCCTGGTTTCCAGGCCACACGCTCAACGAGAATCAGGCTGAGGCCGGGGAAGTCCCAGGGCGCCCCGTGTCCCGGCCGTGCCCCCACGGGCAGCGCCGCTGAATTGCTGACGTGGGGGATTGTCCGCTGGCAGCGTTATGAAATACTCAGCGGGTGAGACCGGCAGCCCCTCGGGGGCGCCGCGGGCATCGGCCCTGAGCATCTCCGGACGTCTCACCCGCCGCGTAGAGCCGGGGGGAAGGCTGGGGCCAGCGTGAGACCCCACGCCCTGGAGACGGCAGGAGGACCGCCCCTCCCCCGGAGCAGGAAATGGGGCTGCAGGAGACACCCCCCCGTCCCCCGTGAAGTGGGGCAGGAAGGGTGGGATCAGATTGGGGCTGAGCTGAAGGTGGGACCAAGAAGCCCCGCCCTGCCCCCACTCCCAGGCACCCGTGCACGCCGAAGCCCCGCCCCTCACAGCGCCCCCGAGCGCACGAAGCCCCGCCCCCTTCCCGTAGCCCCGCCCCCTCACAGCGCCCCCGAGCAGCGGCGCGCACGAAGCCCCGCCCCCTGCCCGTAGCCCCGCCCCCTCACAGCGCCCCCGAGCAGCGGCGCGCACGAAGCCCCGCCCCCTGCCCGTAGCCCCGCCCCCTCACAGCGCCCCCGAGCAGCCGCGCGCACGAAGCCCCGCCCCCTGCCCGTAGCCCCGCCCCCTCACAGCGCCCCCGAGCAGCCGCGCGCACGAAGCCCCGCCCCCTGCCCGTAGCCCCGCCCACTCACAGCCCCGAGCAGCCGCGCGCAAGAAGCCCCGCCCCCTGCCCGTAGCCCCGCCCCCTCACAGCCCCCGAGCAGCCGCGCGCACGAAGCCCCGCCCCTGCCCGTAGCCCCGCCCACTCACAGCGCCCCGAGCAGCCGCGCGCACGAAGCCCCGCCCCCTGCCCGTAGCCCCGCCCACTCACAGCGCCCCCAGCACACGTAGCCCCGCCCCTCACAGCGCCCCCGAGCACACGAAGCCCCGCCCCCTGCCCGTAGCCCCGCCCCCTCACAGCGCCCCAAGCAGCGGCGCGCACGAAGCCCCGCCCCCTGCCCGTAGCCCCGCCCACTCACAGCCCCCGAGCAGCCGCGCGCACGAAGCCCCGCCCCCTGCCCATAGCTCCGCCCCCTCACAGCGCCCCCGAGCAGCCGCGCGCACGAAGCCCCGCCCCCTGCCCGTAGCCCCGCCCACTCACAGCGCCCCCGAGCAGCCCGTGCCCACGAAGCCCCGCCCCCTGCCCGTAGCCCCGCCCCCTCACAGCGCCCCCGAGCAGCCCGTACACACGAAGCCCCGCCCCCTGCCTGTAGCCCCGCCCCCTCACAGCGCCCCCGAGCAGCCGCGCGCACGAAGCCCCGCCCCCTGCCCGTAGCCCCGCCCACTCACAGCGCCCCCGAGCAGCCCGTGCCCACGAAGCCCCGCCCCCTGCCCGTAGCCCCGCCCACTCACAGCGCCCCCGAGCAGCCCGTGCCCACGAAGCCCCGCCCCCTGCCTGTAGCCCCGCCCCCTCACAGCGCCCCCGAGCAGCCCGTGCCCACGAAGCCCCGCCCCCTGCCTGTAGCCCCGCCCCCTCACAGCGCCCCCGAGCAGCCCGTGCGCACGAAGCCCCGCCCCCTGCCCGTAGCCCCGCCCACTCACAGCGCCCCCCGAGCAGCCCGCGCACACGAAGCCCCGCCCCCTGCCCGTAGCCCCGCCCACTCACAGCGCCCCCGAGCAGCCCGTGCACACGAAGCCCCGCCCCCTGCCCGTAGCCCCGCCCCCTCACAGCGCCCCCGAGCAGCCCGTGCGCACGAAGCCCCGCCCCCTGCCCGTAGCCCCGCCCACTCACAGCGCCCCCGAGCAGCCCGTGCCCACGAAGCCCCGCCCCCTGCCCGTAGCCCCGCCCACTCACAGCGCCCCCGAGCAGCCCGTGCACACGAAGCTGCCCAGCGTGATGTCCACGTAGGTGACGCCGCGCTGGCCGCACTCGAAGCAGAGGCGGTTGCCGGGCCCGGAGCCCACCAGGTCCCGGACGCGGCGGGACCAGACCTCGGACTCCGCGTCCCGCGGGGCGCCGGGCTTCCTGCCCCCGGCCCCGGCCGCCATCAGCCCCCGCCCCTCCCGGCTGCTGTCAGCGGGGCAGCGCCGCCCGAGCGCACTGCGCAGGCGCCAGCTCCCCCCCCACCTGCTTCCGCGCCAGGCGCGTGCGCAGCCCTCCCACCTGGCTCAGTTACTCGCCAGGGCGCGTGCGCCGCGAACTCACTGCTTCGCCACAGCGCATGCTCTGCCGCTCCGGTCTACTACGCATGCGTTTGACCGGTGGGGCGGCACGTGCCCACTTCCCCGGCCGCCCGCGTCGGCTTGTGCGGCTGCCCCAGTTCCTGCGCGGTCTTCTGCGCATGTCCGAGAGGGATGCCCGTTCCCTCGCTTTTTTAAGGCGCATGCGCCAACCTCTCCTGAGGCACGAAGAAGGCCCTGACCCCGCCCCCTAGTGGCGTGGCCCGCGGGTTCACCAACGTGGGCGGGGCGTCAGCAACCGCCCCAACGCCCGTTCCAACCGTCCTTCCCGCCAAAACAGCTCCCTGAGCCCCGCCCCCCTCGGGACCCGCCTGGTCCCCCAGAGCCCTCTCCTCAGAGACCCCAGGGTCCCCCCACAGGGTCCCCATCCCCCTACTGGGGTCCCTCACCCCCCAGAGACCCAGGGCTCCCCCCACTCCCCCCAGAGACCCCCCCAGGGTCCCCATCTCCTTCCCCACTCCCCAGAGACCCAGGGCACCCCCCACTCTCCCTAGAGACTCCCCACAGGGTCCCCATCCCTGCCTCCCCACTGGGGTCCCTCACCCCCCAGAGACCCCCCACAGGGTCCCCATCCCTGCCTCCCCACTGGGGTCCCTCACCCCCAGAGATCCAGGGCCCCCCCACTTCCACAGAGACCCCCCCACAGTGCCCCCAGCCCCCCCAGAGACCCAGTGCTCCCAGCGCTGCACCCAGAGCCCCCCCACTGGGCCCCCAGCCTGGGCCCCCAGAGACCCAGCCCCCCCCCGATTCCCCCACCCCCCAGAGACCCAGTGGCTCCCAGTGCTGCCCCGCAGAGACCCCCCACAGGGCCCCCAGCCCTGCCCTCCCAGAGGCCCAGCGGCTCCCAGTGGTGTCCCCCAGAGACCCCCCACAGGGCCCCCAGCCCTCCCCCCAAGACCCAGCGGCTCCCAGCGTTGCCCCCCCAGAGTCCTCCCCACTGGGGTCCCTATGCCCTCCCTCCCAGGGACCCCTAGCCCCTCACTCCTAGAGACCCAGGGTCCCCCCACTGGGGTCCCCAGTCCCTCCTCTCCAGAAACCCAGGGTTTCCCCACTGGGGCCTCCAGTCTCCCTCATGGGGCCCCTAGCCCCTCCTCCCAAGAGACCCAGGGTGCCCCCCCCGGGGCCCCTAGTCTCCCCCCGCAGGGCCCCTTCCCCCCGAGAGACCCAGGCCCAGTGCCAGATGCATTTGCTAGGTCCCCCATCGCGCTTGGAGCGGTACGGAGATGTAAGTCGTCTGGAGGAGCACTCTGCGGACTGATTTCACACCTGGAGCTCCTGACAGCCAGGTGGGTCCTTCTTCGCTCTCTGCCCCCAATCAACTGCGTTGTAGGTTTCTAAAACACAGCCAGACTTCTGCCTCCCCCCAGAGGTGGCTGCATGTCAACCCTGTCCATCTATAAACAGCTGTTGTACCTCACCCCATTGCACCTCAGCGCTAGGTAAGGGATCCCTGTATAAACAGTCTCCCCACCCCAGAGACGGTTGCATCTCAGCACCAATGAAGGGATCTCCATATAACCAGCTGCCCTGCCCCAGAGGTGGCCGCATCTCAGTGTCAGGAGAAGTATCCCTGCCACCCTCACCCAATTGTTGCTGCATCTCAGCACTGGTCAAGGGGTCCTTATTTCTCAAGCATCTCTGGATTTGTTTTTCAATTGAAACCTGCCTTCGAAGTGCAAGAGATTATTTGGGAAAACCACAGTCACCCCTGCTGTTTTCTTTGGAGGCGGAAAGACACCAAGGTGGACTTGATAAGGCAATTCGGGCCTGTTTATCCAGCTTGTTGCCTTCAGAAATGCAATGTGATGCACGGAGCGGGTATGCGCCGTTCCCATTTTATCTGTACGAAGGGAAAGGACTGAACGCTTCACACATTTGCAGTGTTACATCTCGCAGCCCCCACTTTGCAGGGGGGTGGAGTAGGCGTGGTGAAACACGCGAGCCCTGCTAATGAGCCTGGTTTAAGGGGATTCTTGCAAAAAGTGTGCCCGCTCCTTGTTTCACTCGCTTGCTGTCATTCTGGGCCTTAATCATTCAGATTTGGGATATCCTTCAGAGAAGGTTATTTGTTGGTCTTGATTTCTCCGGCTTGGCTGATTTTGTTGCGAGTTTTTCAGCTAAACTGTTTGCTTCAATAATGGAGAGACAAGCTGAGAGAGGTAATATTTTGTATTTCTTCTTCAGTTCTGGGGAAGCTCGAAAGCTCGTCTCTCTCCCCAACAGGAGTTGGTCCAATAAAAGATTTTACCTACCCCACCTTGTCTTGCTAATCTCCTGTGGCCAACACCGCTACAGCAACACCACCACAGGGGCATTGATGGTAGCACGGACTCCGGTCCCATCTGTGCTATTGCGTCCTGCTCTGGGCAAAAGCAGTGGATGCTTCTGGAGTCCAGAGAAGAAGAACAACAACAACAAAAAGCAATTATTACAGTCAGTGACTGTTTAATTAATGCTCCATTTATAGCTTTGGGCCCGGTGTGCAGATTAGCTTTATGCAAGTACCTCAGTCCCCAGAGCAGTGGAAGGATCAAGCCTACGATCGGTGCCAGCCAGAGGGGTGCAGGGAAACTGAGGTAGGAATGTGTGTGAGAGAAGGGAAAGATGACCCCAGTTTGTTCTGCCTGTGCCAGCCACCTTGGACGCGCTGTCTCCTCACCCATTTACACGTGTATCTGTCTCCCCACCCCCACGCGTCTGATTGAAATTCACTGCGAGGCTGCCACGGAGGAAGGAGCTAGTCCACCTCTCTAGGCAGTGTTCTTGTGAAAATGAGGCATTCTGGGGTGCGAGGGCAGACATGATTGAAACACACTGGGCTGGTGGCATGTTGGAGGGACATCCCTGATTGCTCACTGAAAGCGTGACTTTGCTGCAACCTGCACTCGTTCAGTCTAGTGGAGGACAGAACAAGAACCAGTGGCTGCGAGTTAAAGCCAGACATGTTCCAGTGAGAGACGAGGCACCAATTTTTAACAGCGTGGGTGATTAACCATGGGACCAAACCCCCCAGGGGGGCAGCAGGGGCGTCTCCATCTCTGGATGGCTTCCCATCCAGATTGAGCTTTTCTGAAAGATGCTTTAGTCCAGCACAAGTGACAGCTGAATCTGGGGTTAAGTGGGGGACGTTCTCGGCTGTATGCTGTACGGGAGGTCAGGGTAGGTGTGATCTGATAGAGGAACTAATGCTGGCTGAGACGGATTTGGGAAGGAGACACACAGACACACACACACAATTCATGAATTTGAAGGCCAGCAGGGACCAGGCCAGTCTACCATGCTGGATGGCACAGACCAGGGAACTGCTCGGAGTGAATCCCCTGGTGGAACTAGAGCAGAGCTTTGGAACGAACATCCCATCTGGATTTGAAAATGGTCGGTGACGGGAAACCCTCTGCAGCCCCTGGGAAGTTGTTCCCGTGGGTTGTCCCTCGCCCTGTTAAAAACATGCACCTCTTTTCTGCTCTGAATTTGGTCCGCTTGGCGGCCTCAGAAAGATGCCGGGTCCCAAAATCAGAGCGGTTGTGTTTCCAGTAGATTTTTCTGAGGGAGAGAAGGAAGTGCGGAAGGCTGAAGTATTCAAACGCTTGCCCTCAACCTGTCGCCCCTTTGCAGGCTGCCTCTGGGGGCTTCTTTTCTCTCTCCCGCTTTCATCGCTGATTACCATCAAAGCCAGCCTTCCATACAGCAGGGTCCTGGCTGGGGACAACGGTTGTGCTGAGTAGGCACATATGGAAATGAGGAGCGGGTTATAGGTAGGGGACAGGAGTGGGTGGGGCTCGGATGTCTCTTTGTTTAGGTGGCCTGAGTGAAACGGGGGGAACGCATTGCCTGGCTGAGTTACTAAACGCTTTCAGATCCTACTCTAGGAGTCTAGTCAGATTTCAGCTCCAGACTGGAGCCTGGAGCGCACGCTTTACCCCAGCACATGGGATTGGGCTCTGTACAGGGACGGGAGGCCAAACTGGATGATCTCATGGACCCGTCTGGCCTTAGGCTCCAGGAATCCCTGGAGCTGTCAGGGTCTTGGCTTCCCCCAGTGCCCGCTTCGTGTGTGCTGGGGTCCTGTACTCACGCAGTCAGGACAGGCCCGGGAGTGGGAGACTCAGCCCTCCAGCCCCGTCCCAGGGGCTAGGATTGCTCTCCCCTGGGAAAATCAAAGCCATAGCCAGGCCTGGGGCCCAAACGGGCTCCCACTGGGTCTAGCAGAAGTCTACCTCTTCCTGGCTTCCAGGTGCCTACGGGGAAAACCTGTCAATAGGAGCCGAAAGCGAGACAGTCACAAGTTAAAGTGACTCAGAGCTGCGCCAAGCAATGGCCACGTGAGCAGCTGGCCAGCTCTCCAAGGGGCAGGCTCCACCCCGACCTGCAGGGCAGGGGCTGCCTGAGCTGTGCTTCTCTTCTTAAAGCCCTGTTTGAACCCACAACAGCTCCTTAACCCTCTCCTGCCCAGTGGAGAAGATCCTGAGCTCAATAACTCTAGAGAAAACCCCGACATTCAGGGTGTCAAACTGCCCCCAACAGCATCTGTCACGGAGTCCCCGGGCGATGCTCTGGAACTGCTCCCTATGAAGCCAGGCAGGACTCTGGGGCAGTCTCCTCTCGGGGAGCAGCCTGTCTTCAGGACACACAGCTCACACATTTTCCCTCTTCCTGGGTCTGACCTCGGAGCATTCAGCCTCCTCTGCCCCTCCGTGTGCTTCCCACAGCGAGTCCACCCAGGCAGGCTCCTGGGGAAGCCAGAGGGTCCTGCCCCCCAGTTCCGCAGTCAGACGTGACTCTCAGCCAACCAGTAACACAGAAGGTTTATTAGACGACAGGAACATGGTCTAACACAGAGCTTGTAGGTACAGAGAACAGGACCCC